CCCCCCCACTTGTTAGCTATATTGTATCTCCTGTGGAGAAATGTCCTACTGGTCTTCCATCCGTCTTTAATTGGATCATTTGTATTTTTTCTTTTATTGTTGAGAATTAAATATAATAATTCTTTATACATTCTAGAGTTAGGTCTCTCTCCTCAGCTGCTAAAAACATTCAAAATTCCCTACTTGAAAGACATTCTTGTTTGACTTCTTAAGTTACTGTTTCTGTGATCATTCCACAAATACTTTTGGATAACCAAATGATGTACCAGCTCTTGTTCTGGAAATTATGGATACATTATGGATAAATTCAGAACCCCTGAATTCTGGGCCTTACGGGCAGGTGCAGAAGACAGTGAATACATAAGTACATAGAGATTTAATTGTAATGATACTCCTATTTCCTGGGGAATGTGGTAGGGGACATGCGGGAGGACGCTGATTTGGTCTTGGAAGTCAAAGCCCGAGCTCTTGGAGGAAGGCACATCTGAGTTAAGTCCTGATGAATGACTCTGGGCAAGGGTGAATGTTCCAGGCAGAGGTGGCAGTGTACCTGAAGGCCTTGAGGTGCAAAGAACCAAAAGAATCTCAGAGAGTAGGGTACAGAGGAAGAGTAAAGAGTAGCAACTCAGGCTGTAGGTGCAGCAGGACTTTGTGCTAAGTGTTGGTATGGACTTTGACCTCTGTCAGGGCGGGAACTGGGAAGCTGCTGAGATAGCTTTAAGGACAGTAGATTAGAAGAGTGTGAAAGCAAACACAGGGAGCCTTTCAGAAGGCCGCTACTTTGGCCAACATGAGAACTCCTAGTGCCTTGGCAGCAATAGGGGATGAGAAGAGATGGAAGAATTGGGAGACAACAAAGGAGCTGGAATTATTGGAAGGTGATGAGCAATGCAAGTCAATAAGGCAAAGAGAGGTAGTTTAAATAACTCTCAGGTTTTTGGATTATGTAGTAAGATGGTGTGATTCACCAAGACAGAAAATTGGAGTGATGTAGATTTATGGACCAGGACATGGCGTGATGGAATAGCAGATTTGAATTTTCAGTTGACTCTGGAGTGCCTGTGAGCCCTTGCTGATAAAGATGGCGGGAAAGGTCAGGATTGGGGTTCGGAGCCTGAGGAATCACACGGGGTTAGTAGACCTGTCAGTAGCCACTGAAGAAAGCAGAGTTCTGGTGGACCAGCAGGCGTGGGAGGGAGATCGACTTGTACTCGGAATAGTGGGGAATGAGATCAGAGATGGGGAAAGTTTTCCAGAAGACTGTGTCAGAAATAGAAGTATCACCTATGGAACGTTTGCTTTGTCCATAGAGATAGTGGACAAGGGCCCAGAGGGTGTCAAGGAAAACTGTGCCCTTGACAATCAGAAGGACCCTGTCAAGAAATATGGTCTGTTGTTGGGGAGTGACATGACACCATTATGGGGACCAGAAGTTTGGGGTGATGTTTGGAAGCTATTTAAAAGGTCAGCCTGAGAAGATGCAATGAAAGGACGTGTGTGTGTGTGTGTGTGTGTGTGTGTGTGTGTGTGTGTGTAAAGTGCATTCACTGTTGTGCCTTGTGTGCTTTCTTCAGGAGGCTAAGAAGTCCCGCCTGCCGATCCTGATGAAATCAGCCCAGTCATTAGGGCATGCATATCGTTTCCTTGCCACTCAGGAGGTGGTGGCCAAACTTCAGGGCCAGATCATGGAGCTTCAGGGTGAGCTGAAGGAGTGTAAAACACATAATAAGCAGCTTCATCACAAGTTAATTCTGGTGGAGGCCCTGATGGAGGGGAAGCCAGCACCTGACCAAATGCTGCTGAATGGTAAGCATGAGGAAAAACACCTTCTCCGTCATGAGACGAGCAGCCCCACAGAACTGCCTGAAATGTCAGCCTTGTTGTTTAGAACTGCAGTACCTTTGAGTATAAATTTCATGAATTGCAGTGATTAATCTTCACTCTTGACAAATGCACAATGGAGGAACACAATAGGGAAAATGAAGCTGCAGTTTTCTTTCCATTCTGGAGTCTGGATAAATGGTACCTATAGTGCCCTCAGCTCTCTGGGAGCCTTGTGCCCTCCCCAGGAGCTGTATCTGGTGTCCAGCTGGGCAGGCTTTAGTGTCCAGGCTTTGTGGAACCTCAGAACGTGATATTTGAAGTATGCAAGGGAGATTCTCTTGATAGAATTCCCCAGAATGGTAGGCCCCAAACCTATCTTCCTCTAGAAGGGAACCACGTCAGCATCCCCTGTGAATCAGCTACCTCTGCTCTCTAGGGGCCATGTAGATGAGGATACCTTGGGTTGAAACCTGGTGGTGCAGTGGGAATCCAGAGACCTGGGGGGAGGCAATGATATTACCCGCCTATGTCCCACCAAACCTGTGAGAGACTGGAGAACGCAGGGCGCCCTCTTCCAGACGGAGTAGCCACCGCCTTTCAAGGAGCATTCCACATTACCACACCCATGAAAATACCTGTGCTGCTTTGAGTTTCACCTTCTGCTCTAAGTAGGTGGCAGCAGCAGGGTGTTGAGAGCAGCAGCGGTCATCTTCATAAATTGTCCCGTGTGCCAAACACTGTTCTATGCCCTGCAAAGACAGGAGCCCAAAGCAGACAGAAATCTGTGTCCAGATAGTATTTTTATGTATCTGGGAAGACAATAACATATGTTATGTGAGAAAATAGGTGTGGGGAGACGCAAAGCAGAGTGATGGGCAGGGGAGGGAGGGATGATGGCAAGGTTTGCTAATGCACATGATGTGGAGAGGTTTGAACCTCTGTGACAGGTGTCATCTGGATGGAAATGGGAGGCAATGAGCACACTAGTCATCTGGGGAAAAAGGAACAGGGCAAAGGCTCTGATGTGGCTTTGAATATGAGAAGTAGGGTTGATTGGAAGGTGCTGAATCATATGACTGGTATTGAGGGGGCTAAAGGAGAGATGGTGAGGGCAGGGACGGAGGCACCAGGCAGGCCTTTATAGGCCATCCTGTATAAAATCGGACACTGTTGGAGGTTTGAGTAGTAGAGCAACATGGTCTGACATAAGCCTTATAGCAAGAATTGATAGAGTACTGTCTGTGTTTCAAATTCAGCTTTTCGCCTGTTTTTCCTGTTCAAAAGGAAATGTACTCATCACCTGCCTCATATAACTAACTGTAACTCCTCTGTATATCACCTTTACAATAACATTTTAAAACTGTTTTATTGGGACACAGCCGCACTCATGTGGTAGAGATCATATGGCCTGCAAAGCCTAAAGTACTTATTATTTGGATCTTTGAGAAAAGTAGGCTGACTTCCATTTTAAAGGATCGCTTCTAATGTGAACCACTGGAAGGATGGAGTTGTGCACTGAATGGGGAAGATTGCAAGCCAGGTCAGGCCAGGCCAGGCCAGCCTGGGGGTAACGTTAGATGTCTGGTTTTGGATGGTTGAGATGCCTGTTGTCCAGCCTAGTGGAGATACTGGGTAGGTAGTTGGAGATTGGTGAGCCTAGAGTCAAGGAAAGTGATATGGGCTGAGACGGAAACTGAGGAAATGGCAACATACCACTGACACTGAAGCTATGTAGCTCAGAACTCCAGGTAAATGAACTGGGCTCTCCAGAGGTTAGAGGTTGGACTGCAATGGGGCAGCCATCTCAGAAGCTGAGCCAAGAACACTGGCTATGGCAGATATTGTTAGTAACACACATAAGACAAGGACTGAGGATCAGCTTAGCCATTAAGGGAGCTGTTTCAGGTGCCAGACAGAGAGTAGAGGAGAGAAGTTGGAGATCACAAAGACAGACACCTCTGGGGAATTGTACTGTTGTGAGACACAGAGAGTCAGGGCAGTCAGGAGCCAAAATGGCTCTGAGGAATGGTGGCTGTAGCAAGGTTAGGCTGCTGGTAGTGTAGTGTATCAGCTTCAGCTGCAAAATTGGTGTTTCTAGGAAGACAGAATGATGTGAAGGGACAGTGTGGAGCAGCGGGATGTGGCAGGTACGGCCTCTTTGGTGATGCTCTCGGGGAGACAGTCCCCCCAGGAGACAGTTGGGTTCTCCTAAAATGAGGGTCGAGGCCAATGCTTAGAGAGAAGCTTGGCAGTCTTAAAGATGGCCAGTGAAAGGGAGAGTCCTGGAGAGGAGATGGTGTCAGAATAGATCGCTAGGTCACTCAGGGATTGATGGTGACCTTGCAGCCCTGGATTTCTTGTGACAGTCATAAAAGGAGGACTTTGCACTTGTTGAGCCCTACCATACACACTCAGAATCAAATAGATCAAATAGAATCCTCCCAATCCTTCTCCAAAACAATGATTGTCCCCATCTGAAGTTCAGGTAGCACCTTCGAGAGGAAGTGAGCCAATGAGTCATGGTACTAGCTTCCAGGGCCCTGTGTAAACCAGCCTGCCCGTTTTCTAAGCATCGGTGAAGCCTAACCCTAGCATGTGGTACTCTGGTATAAACTCTGTGCACTAGAGCCCAAGATAGCTTCCATTAATTGTAGGTTCTGTCTTGGGTTTCTTGTACTTGAGGTTTCAAACTGAGTTGGCTTTTATCAAAATTGCCTCTACTGTACCTACTGTCAATCTGTTCTTCCGTTCATCTAGGCATCATATTCAGTAAATATTCCCCAAGTAGCTACTGTATCTCCATCTTAGGCACTGGATATAGGAGAGAGAGAGAGAGAGAGAGAGAGAGAGAGAGAGAGAGAGAGCGCGTTCTGGATGGGGGTGGGGGCAGTTCAGCCAACCAAATCAGTACAAAGAGTTAAGAGTGGGGTGGAGGGAGGGACTTCAGAGTGACAGCCCAGGAGGGACCCTAGCACATGTCCAGGCCTGTCATCTGCACTGTGCCCCGCCTCCTCTGCTGGGGAGGCAGGAGGCTGTCTCTGCCGGGTGCTGCCCTGTGGTTGCCAGGAAGACCCCGGGGGCTCCTCTTGCTTGGGAAAGTGGGCACATGTCGATGGAATGGAATTCCTTTTCTCACTCAGTTTTTTGAGAGTCTGGATTTAAACCATTTCAGACAAGCTGCAGTATATTTATGCTTTTTATGTTCTGTTATGGCAGCTCGATAGATTAATTTTATCTTATAAATTGCATTTTGCCTCCCCAGTGTTTTTATTTTCCCTGTTGTATCTTTGTGTTCTTCTCAGATGCTTGGCTAAGTTTCAAGCCTATGGTTTTATTTTTCTTTCTCTTTGCCAGTGCCTGCAGCTCAGCCCCTTGTGGAAGCAGCCTCCCAAGACAGCCCAGGCAAGCACGAAGGAACTAAAAGCTCACCCTCAGCCCAGAGAGACAAGGACCAGCACACCAACCTTGAGACCGGTCAGAACTCAGCTTCTTTGTGTGTCCAACAGCTGCCTGGTGCCAGGCGCTGTGTAGGGTGACATGTCAAAATTCTTAGTAGATCTAACAGCAGCCCTCCTGGGTCAGCATTCCCATTCCCACCTGTCATATGGGGAAGATGAGGATCTAAAGCATGACTGACCAGGGTCACCCAGCTGCTAGGGAGGTAGAAGAGTCAAGGCAAAGTAGGGTACCAGATAGAGCTGATCATTCCATTTGTCTGACCCTTCCAGCAGATAGTGCATGGTTCAGGGGTTCACAATGAAAAGACCCAGTGCCTGCTCTCAAGGGACCTTACACAACCACACAATGAGAACACAGGCACCACAACAACCTGTTAATATCCGGTGTGGAGCAGGCTGTTACCTGCCAGGGAGAATGGGTCAGTCAGGGGAAAAGCCTCCTGCTGAGCCCAGATTGGTGGGCTTTGCAGCTAGGTCATTGGGGATGGCACAGAGAGCTGTGAGTGAGGCTGCAGACAAGTTGTATCCCGTCCTTTTTTAATCATGAAGTATTATTAGCACACAGATACACACAAAGGATAATGGAGCAACTACCATATTCCTATTCAGCCAAAATGAGCAAGGGTTTACTCTTTTTTTTTTTAACCCTAGATCTCTTTCCCTTCATTAAAAATATAGCTGTTGTTCTGAATTTAATTCACATGAGACATCTTGGTCATCAGGAATCCTAAATCTGCTGTGGAGTGGTCGAGGGAACACGAGTCTCTGGGGAAAGACCTGGCTAAGCGCCTTGGTCCCACTAGTGGGGCCTTTCTGAGGCCTAGAAGTGTGGTGACCACATGATTTTGGGTGTTCTGGGCTTGAGGAGAAAGTTACTATATCAGGGACCAAAACATTTTTTAGCTGAGTTGTGGAAAGTTCTAGAACTACTTTTCTTTTCTTTTTTTTTTTTGCTTTTTAGCTGAGATGTGGAAAGTTCTAAGTATTGGAGTTTGAAACCACCTACCCTGTGCTTGTTAAGTGGTTGCTCTAGCACTGAGCCCTTTCTTGGGCTGGTTATGTTCTGAGGTGGGGGTCTCACTTCCTGCTCAGGGAATGCTCCTGGACTGCCATCCACCTATTTCAATTTTCCATGAAGCAAGGATGATAGGTGTGCAACCATGTTCAGTTGTTGGTCAAGAAGGGGTCTCATGATTGTTTTCCATTTTTTTTCTGTATTAACTTTAAGTAGTTGTACAAAAGGATTTTAATTCAGTATGTTAGTTTATAAGTACAATGCATCTTGAACTTTTCTTGCGGGACAGGGCTGACCTTTCTGTCTCAGCCTCTTATATAGCTGGGATTGCAGGAGTGAGGAGAGCTAGTGTTATCTGGCTTGAACTTAGGTCCTGGGCACTGTCCTTGAGCCTCTTTGTGCTCAAGGCTAGCACTCTACCCCTTGAGCCACAGTGCTACTTCTGATTTTTGAATGGTTAATTGGAGGACTTTTCTACCTGGCTTCGAACCGTGAACCTCATATGTCAGCCTCTTGAGTAGCTAGGATTACAAGCATGAGCCACCAGTCCTGTTAGTTTCCTATTCTTTTTAAGTACCTCTGTATCACAGAGCTGCTCTCATCTTTCTGAGTGTGCATCCAGAACTTGGCATGTGTGTTGCCAAGTTGCTGTCTAGCTGAATCTTTATTCTGTAGATCCCTACATAAGCTTTACTTTTCCTGAGGTCACTCCTGAGTTCCCCAGGATTCGAGGTCTCCTCCTTTTAGCCCCATATTATACCTTATTATTCAGTTAAGTTACTCAGTACTACCTACTCTGGGCTGGGTACTGGGGGTGACTCCACTGCTATCATATCTCCAGGAGCCCCTTGGTAGCTACTAAGTGAATGAGGGAGCTCACACAGGCATTACTGTTCTTCCTGTTGAGGGTCTTCCATTGTGGGACAGGGGCCAGGATGCTATAGCATTTGGAGTGTCAGAGGTAAGCACCCAGGCTGTATGGTTTTTTTTGGGGGGGGGACAGCGGGTAGGGACACATTAACTGTGTAAGAGAGATTCACTGTGACATTTCCAATGCATGTTTATTTACCATGTATATTCCAATCAATCCTACCCCTTGATCACCCTCTCTTCTACCTCTCCTCCCTTCCTAAAACAATTTGAGCAGGTTCCGTGGTACTTCAACCATATTCATCCTCTTTCATCCTCGTGTGCACCCAGGCTTGGTGAAGGGCTCTGCTGCTACTCATCCTGAGCCTTTGGCAGATTCTCTGGCTCTCAAGCATTGGCTTTCCCTTTTCTGAAGTGGAGATTGTGGCATTGCCTCACTGGACAGTAAATGAACAACTCTGGTGAGGTGCTAGGTGCGTGGATCAGGTCCTGGAATGTGATCATAGATCCAGAGGTCCCCATGCGCTGGCAGCCTGTGACCCTACAACCCTGCCTTCTCCCACACCTTCTACACAATGCTATTGAGCGGAACAGAGGAAGCAGCTCCTTCAGACCTTTATCAAAGCCTGCGGAGCAGAGAATGCTAGCAAGGAGATTTGTTGTATTCTTGCCTTGGTGCCTGAGTCAATTCCTTGCCCCTGCTAAGTTATAAGTTTCTGTAGGGAACTTTGAGGACACTTCTGAAGTCAGAGCTACTAAGTATCAAGTGGTAGGCCAATATGCTTTTCACATCCTTAGGAGCAGAGTTTACAGTGGAGCCTATCCCCTCCCAGGCACTTGGGGTCGGTGGGGCGAAACATCAGAGTGACTGCAGTCACTTGTCTTTGCCTCATGGGTACCTAATGGAAGTTACCAGAACTGATCTTTAGTGAATACTGCTTCTTCCATGATCTACAGATGAAATTCCACTATAATAAGGTTGTCGCTAAAGCAGTTTTCTTATTTTGTGGACAGCTTAGTGGAACAAAGGGAACAAAGCCTTGTTGGGAAATCTTCCCCCTTGTACTTCTTCTCTCTCATACTCTTTCACCTGGAAGCCTTTACCAAGTGCCTTCTTTATCACGGGCTCAACACCGGACACCGGGGCAGCAGGTGAAGGGTGACCTGGTTTCTACTCTCAAGGACCACACAGACCAGTGAGCCTGACAGGTTGCTTCCTCGGGAACGTCTCCTTTAGGCCATGTAGTAGCTAAAACTGACTTTGCGATGTTTGCCCTGTGAACAGAGGGACAAGAGTGGATAAGGACTGGGTTTGTGAAATAGAAATCGAACTATGCCTATGCTTGTGTTTTCTCTCTGAGAGACCTCCAGGTCCTCTGGTCCAGCCACGCTGTCTTTTCCTGGGCCAATGAGGAGTGTCTTCTCCCATCTTTTTGTGGCTTGAAACGAAAAAGCAGAGCTTTGATGAGCATTCTCCTGCCGCTCGTCCTAGGCCATGGGGAGCGCTCCTGCTCCAGAAGCCTTGACCTTCTGTCAAATGGGGATTCTGATGATGCCTCACTGGGTTGCTGTACACCAACGACATTGGTGGGGTGCTGTGGAAAAGACACAGCAGCAGACATTGTTCCGCATGGTCCCCACAAGTGAGCAAGTAAGCCCAGCCTCACAGCCTGACAGTGGTCATTCACTATAAGGAGTCTCATCTGCCTAACTGAGGTCATGCAGCTACTAAGTGGCAGAGCCAGTGTTGGAAGCTGGGGATGTTACCTTTTAAATCTAGTGTTTTCCTACTATACATACTAGGCTGCCTCTTAAATATTCAATCACCTCCTTATGTGGAGCTGAGCTTTCCCTGGGTAGCGGCAGTTAAGGACGGAAGCTGTGGAGTCAAGCCTCATTGTCACCATATTAAGCATCTTTCCTCATTTCCATGCAGGGTCAGCTGAGGCTCAGGTTAGCAAGTTATTTGCTTAAGTCTGCAGCCAGCAAGTGGCAGGGCTAGGTGTGACCTGTTGCTCTTTGGTCCAAAGCTCTATACTCTTGCTGTGCTGTCTGTCTCCCATACAAGCTGGCTGCATCTCTGAGGACCGAGGCTTGACTTAAGGAAAGGTGAACAGAATGGGAGTCAGTGAGTCAGCTAATGAAGAGGACACGATGGCATGTAGATGGGGAAATGGGAGGCCCTCCTGTTGAGGGTGTGTGGAATGCTTGCTCTTCAATGCTCTGTCATAAGCCTTCTGTGTTTCTCAGAGCATCACTGACTTCTGATCTGTGCTGGCACAAATGTGTTCTAGGCACTGAGGACATGAGGATGGAAGGCTACATCCCTGCTCTAAAAGGACTTGCAGTCTGGTGCTTGGGAGAGGCATCCATGTAATTAATTGCTGCTGTGTCAACTGCAGCCCCTCCAGTAGCATCAGGCATGCAGTGTGTGGGGTGTGTTAATGTGTCTGTAACATGCTATGGGAGCACAGAGGGGAGGGACTTGCATAGTTTGGGAGTGGACCCCTAGAAGGAGGAGAATTAGATCTAGATGTTGAAGGATGAGTAGGAGTTCAAAGAGTGGGATAGAATAGAGGGCCTAAGATATTCTAGGCAGAAGGTACAGTTCCTATGAAGGCATGAAGCTACATGGTATTTGTAGATGTCCTAGGAACTCCCCATGGATGGTGCCAGAATGCTTCTGGATAGGTCCTTGGAATCAGATTATGGTGGATCGCAAGTTGAAAGTGGGGATAATTGGTGATTTTTAGATGTGTAGCTGGTTTATGATTGTTAAATTCACTCATGAGGACATTCGTTCTGAGAAAAACCATGTATTGAGAGGCAAGATGGTGTATTAATCAGCTTTCTGTTGTTGTGACAAAGGACCTGGGAGAATCAACTTAAAAGAAAGAAAGCTTTATTTTGGTTTCAGACATTTCAGGTCATGGCTACCTGGTTCTGGTTTTGGACCTGTAATCAGGCAGAATGTCGTGGTAGGGAGTGTGTGGTGCAGTAAAATGATTCACCTCATGGTGGCCAGGATGCAAAGAGGGGTGGCAAGGTCCCATATCACCTTTAAGGGCATGTCCCCAGTGGCCTCACTTTCTCCCACTAGTCCCTGTCTCTGAGAGAGTCCACCCATTCCAGTACACAGCAGGCGAACACCCAGTCTTCAAAACATGGTCCTGTGGGGAACATACGAGATCCAAACAATCCACAGCGGACGGTACACTGGAGAGCATTGACTGGGCGGTGGCTGAGACAAAGGCTGGGAGACACTGATAATCAATATATTTGATTTTGCAGATTCTGAAATTTATTCACCTGATGACCTGGCTGTGTTGCCAACACATAAAGAGAACTCTGAAGATTTTCTGGACCCAACTTCTGCAGCCACTTGCTTGGATTCGAAGAGTCAGCTTTCTGTTAAAGTCAGTGTGTCTGAGTCTGATCCATCTGGGGACCTCGACATTTCACATGACACAGAATACTTAAAACAGAAAATCTGTGACTTGGAAACTGAGCTGGAGGGCTACCGGAATTTCCTGTTTCAGCTTCAAAAGCACTCTCAATGCAGCGAGGCCATTATCACGGTTCTGTGTGGGACAGAAGGGGCCCAAGATGGCTTGAACAAACCCAAGGGCAGTACTGATGAAGAAGAGATGACCTTTTCAAGTTTGCACCAAGTACGATACGTGAAACACATGAAAATCCTCCGCCCACTCACCCCCGAGATGATTGATAGCAGGATGTTAGAAAGCCTCAGACAACAGCTGGTGCAGCAGGAGTATGAGCTGCAGAAGGAGCAGAATTTGAACTTGGAACTTTTCAGTGAAATCCATAACCTGCAGAATAAGTTCCGAGATCTTTCACCTGCCAGGTACCTTCTACCTCTAGCTGCTTCCCCTGTTTAAGCCTGCAGTCCTGTTGGGTTGCTGCTAGCCTGGAACCTGAGAGCTGGGAGAGCATGATGCTCTGTGGTAGCAGAGTGTCCTGGAAAGGGATTTGGCCTATGGTTAAGAAGCCAGGCCCCGTGGGGAAGTGAAATGTGATGCTACAAAACACGTGCTGCACACATGAGCCTCAGCTAGGAGTAGTTTGTCCTCTCAAACTGGCAGGCAGGTTTTGTCCTCCTTAGGTTGGGGACTAGGGGAAAGGTTTTATACCAGTCACTTGGTGAATTACAGTGCTTTCGCTGAGCTGCGGGGCTTGTTCTCACTCTGCTAGTGGCTTTTGTCTCCCTGTGGCACTAAACTGATGTCCTAGGCAGGTTGGGAGGCATATTAATGTTTTTCATATCTTTACCCTTTAAGGTCATCTTAGAGAAATAAGCTTGTGTCGAAAGAGCAGAATTCTTAGGTCATGAAGATAATGTTTTATGGTTATAAATATGTACAGTTTTGCCTCATGAGATATGGCAAAAACCACGATCATTTAGAAAGTTGACCTTCATCCGTCACTAATTTGAGACAACATATTGTTCTGAGTTGTCAGCAGCCAGAGTGAATTTTTCAAGACTTCCCAAGCAGCGATAGTAAAGGAAGCTTGTGTTCACGGAGGAGCTGTTATGTTAGCCCCTGGTTTAAGAACATTTCTTTTCCTTTTCTTCTTCCCCTCTTTTTCCCTTCTCCTCTGTCTTCCCGTATCCCTCTTCTTCCTTCTGTCCTCCTCCTTTCTTCTTGCCCTGTATACCAGGCTGTCCTCAAACTCAAAGATCCTCCTCCCTCCCCAGCCTCCTGAGTGCTGGAATGACAGGTGAGCACCACCATGCCCATCAAGAAACTGTCCTTACTTGATCCTAACAAGCACCTGGTAGACTAGAAAACGAATCCTTACTCAGGTTGCTGTGCCCTGTCTGTGAATGTTCACAGAGCTGTAAGAGATACTGATCGGGTTCATGGCACAATATCCCCCTCCCCTCAATAACCAACTTTCTCCTCTTCCATGGAGTCAGTCCCCACCTCCTACGCCAGTGCTACATGATCTGCACGCTCATTCTCGGCACTGAAGGTGCTTGCCTGGCCCTCATGCTGTTGTTTGTGAAAGGGGGAACTTGAAGAACAGGTGTCCACCTGGCCACTCTCCCTCAGCTTGCGTTTGTCTCGGTGCCTGCTACGCTTATGGGCCCATGTAGGGAAAAGTATGGAAAGACAGTGAGGAGCTGTAGGAGCTTTAAAGTCAGTTTGTGAACCCTAAACCTTCACCTAATTACCTTGACAACCAGTTTACTTTCCTATAGAAGTGGGCATTCATTCATTTGTTGATGTTAGGAGGGTAGACAATTTTATGCCATTTACTTCATGTCCTGGCCCTGGACATGAAGTAAATGGCTACAAATTCTGTTCCTCACTGGCCAGTCCCCTTTCCCTGCCTTACTCTTTCTTCTTATACTTCGTGAGAATTTTTGAGGGTCTCTGCCCCTGGAGCACGTGTTCCTACAATTCAAAATAGTGTTTTTGAAGAATGTATGGAAACTAATTGTTCTCTTGCGTCCTTGCCAATCTAGGCTTTAATTGGGGGCTTTATAAGGTTAAAAATATTGCAGAAGAATATCTGTTCTAACATTCGCTGGCTGTTTGAACTCAAAGAGGGAGTGACCTTGTACAGTTTCAATTTTTCTAAAAGTATATATACTTGTACAGCTGCAGGCTTTAAAAAAAATCGTGCTCTGTCATTTTTCCAATTAGTGTTAAGGTCACAAAAATTCAATTCTAAAATGGCACAAGCATTTTCTTTCCCCTCCTTTTATCAGATATGATTCATTAGTTCAGTCCCAAGCCAGGGAGCTCTCCCTTCAGCGGCAGCAGATTAAGGATAGCCATGACATCTGTGTCATTTACCGTCAACACATGAGCACCATGATCAAGGCGTTTGAGGAGCTGCTGCAGGCTAGCGACGTGGATGCCTGTGTGGCCGAGGGCTTCCAGGAGCAGCTGAATCAGTGCGCCGAGCTGCTGCAGCGGCTGGAGAAGCTTCTCCTCCACGGTGAGTTGGGGGAAGAGCCCTAGACATGCCAGTGTTGAGTGCTTGGCCTTGGTTGGAGGTCTTTGGACCTCTTGCACATTGCGCCTCTGCCAGGCAGAGGCAACTACAGAGCCATACTCGCTGCTGCCTCCACCCTGTGCCCCTGGCCTGCAGTTTCCAAGCTGGGGCCTATTGGGGCGGGGGGTAGTAGAGGCACAGTATTAAAGCCAGCCAGGAAAAGTCACTTGTTCTTCCAAATTTGTGAGTAGATCTATGTGTGTGTGTGTGTGTGTGTGTGTGTGTGTGTGTATGTGTCTGTGTGCGCGTGCACGTGTGCACATGCATGTGTGTATAAACTCGTGTTTTGAATGTTGACAACAAAAAAAATCTCATACAAGCAAAACTTACATATCAGTGTAAAAATACATTCAGGAGTTAGAAGTAGCCAGAAGAAGGATGAGAAACAACAACAACAAACTTTTACTCTGTAGCAGGTATTTAAATAATGTTATTGCACTAAATTTTTAAAAGATTTTCAAGACTATAACAAAGAGCTTCATCAGTGGTTAGCATTTTGCTCTTTTATCATTCTGTCTTTTTTCTCTCTATGCACATCATCATCATCATCATCATCATCATCATCATCATCATCATCATCTTTCTGAGCCCCTTAGAGGGTGGACTGATCATATCTTATCCCTTTTCCCCTAGCTACTTTGGTTTGTAGTTCTTCAAATCCAAGACATTCTCTTTTATACCCATGGTACCAACACCCAAGTCAGAAGCAGTGCTATCTAGTTTACTGTTACATATAGTTTAAATTCAGATATTTTTATCATCAATTCAGTCCTATCTTCAGGACAGTTTTATTCCTGATCCGCCATCTAGTACCCATGTTACTTTTTAAATTTGATTTTTATTTTACTGGTGCTTGGGGTAGAACCCAGGGCCCGGCAATTGCTAGGCAAATGCTCTACCACTGAGCCACATGAGGCCCAGCTGCAGCCAGACCTCCTCCTCTACACAGAGCGCTCCCCTTACCTTCCGTTGTTGTATCTCCTTGATTTCCTTTATTCTGGAGTCCTTCCTCCCCCTTTGTCTTTCATGATATTAACATACTTACTAAGTCCACACTCTCCCCCACTCTGAAATTACCTGTTATTCCTTTGGATTAGATTAGATTAGGCACTTGTGGGGCAGTGCTATGGGATGGTTTTGTTGTCAGGATATCATATTGAGGAGGCTCACAGTATCAGCCTGTCCTACTTGCAGTGATGCTAGCTGTGATGGCTAAGGTGTTGCCTGTCAGGTTTCTCTGTGTAAATTATATTTCCCTGTGTAGCTAATCAATTATTAGCGGGGGAACTTTTTAATTCGGTAAATCGTGTACTCCTCTCCACACTTTACCATCCATTGATGATTCTTGCTTGTCACATGTCACTGTGGTTTTCTCCTAACACCCGCCATTTCTCTCTTCATTACTAACGGGCAGCTAGTAGAGGATGCATCCTACCCCAACTATTATTTAAAATTTGTTATTGTCAATATAGCCCTGCAGGTTATTTTGTTCAATGAATATTTTCCATCCTGTCATTCATACGGATGTTGAAATTGCTTCAGACTCAGTAAGTCATCACCCTTCTCCCGTCTCCCATCTTTTTAGGAGTGCTTACAAATTTTGAAGTTCTTGGACTCTCCTTCTCCAAGTCATTATTTTACTCTGCTTTCTTCTCACTCATCTTTTCTAAATAAAGTAGTTTTCATCTTATTTTTTTGTACGTTTTTTATTGTAAAAATACTGTACAGAAGGGTTGCAGTTACATGAGCAAGGTAATGAGTATGTTTCCTATCGAGCATTGTTGTCTCCCCCTTTGTTTTTCCCCTACCATCCCTTCCCTTTCCCCACCCCCACAGCTTACCCCCCTCCCCAGCGCGTCCCCCCTTTCAGCATAGTGTCTTGTACATCTCATTGTTATAGTAGGTCAACCTGTAGCCCTGTTTCAGCATTTTGTTTTTTTCCCTTCCCCTCCCTGAATTAGAGAAGTGTATATACAAGATGCAGGGAAATACGGGGTGGTCATTAGCTCTGTATCTTCCAGGCCCAGGGCAGTTCCCTCTGTCTCTTTTCTTCCGTCATTCCCTACCCTGACCCTGACTGTTAGAGGCTTGATGGACACCGCCTCTGGCACCACCAGCCCCTCCCTCACCCCACATCCTTGATTTGTTTTTTAGTCAACTGACTTTGACAAGTCCAAGGACACCCCATTTCCACTTTCCTGTGGGTCCAGAGATAGGAGCAGCTCAGGTATAGGAGACCACACAAATGTAGAGTTTTATTTTCTTCTGCAAAAGGCAGAAAAGGCCCAGGGCCCTCTTCACTTCATAGAGAATGAATGGTTAAGTGGAGCTGAGTAAAGAGATCTGGCTCTTGATTTATGGAGTGAGATTTTCATACAGTAGTTATATATTTGAGACAGTTGAATGGCCCAAGTTCTTAACGTTTTAAACACAGACTTTAAAAAATCAGTGTAAGACATCCCATGTTTACTGTGGAGTAACAGATAAGCAAATATAATTGTATCATTTACATAGTAATGCTTGAACACCCCCTGGAGTGTGTATGCTCAGACTTTAAAATACCTATGTGTTTGTTTTTTTTTTAAGGAAAGAGAACTATGTGTAACTTCCTTTGTTCAATTGTAGATAATATTAATATGCATTTGAATGCTTACTGGTTCAAAGCATTCTTTTATGTTATGTATCATCACTTTTTGGCCATTCTCTACTGGATGGACTTGTAGTTTGGGCTTTTATAAAGAACATGCTATAGGAATCTTTGTGTGTACATCTTTGCTATTTTTTTTCATAGTATTTAATTGGTAGAATGGATGATTCTGTGGTTTCTTAGTGATTGTAAGGGGTAGAGTAGGGCTGAGATTCCTCCGTCAGTTAAACTAGGGCTTTTCTAGGGGTTTGGAACTCTGTAGGACTTTGAGTATGTGCATTTTTCTGGGTGTCAGGGCCCATAACCTCCAGATTCCTTAAGACGGCTAAGACTCAGAGAGGATGAGGAACTGGTGTTGCACAGGTTTTCCATGTACTCATTCACATTGCGTCCCCAGGCAGTTGCCTAATGAGAAAGGCATTATTTTGTCTTGGGATAACTTGGCATAATGTCCTAGGGTGAGCTCAGGTAGACGGCGAGACAGACTCTCAGTGAGCTCCATGGTGCCAGAGTTTGGCATGAGGAGAAAAGACAGTTGACACTCCCTTGTTGACAGAAATAAGCCCCGAAACGTTCTTTCCTTCTCAAGGAAATTTATAGTGTTCCTTTTCTAGAAACATTGATAATGAAAATGTTGGAGGAAATGAAGGCTGGCTTTCACTGAGTATTTGCTATGTGCCAGGCATTGTTTTCAAGCGACTAGGAAATATTAGGTTTTACCCTTATTTCATATGAGGAAAACAGAGGTGAATTCACTTACTCAAGGTCACACAGGAAGCGTCAGGATCTGAATGGAGCCTAGGAAGTTTCCTCCCATAGACTGGCCTTCTAACCACCATATGACCGTCGCATCATGCCCTATTCAGTTGGTACACTGACCAAAGGTTTCTGAGACCCAAGCATGGCACACTGTTCAGTCCCTTTCCTGATAAGGTCATCTTCTACTTGTAGAAAACTTGCCAGCCCCACTTAAGATTGTATTGGTCGCCCTGAGTGGAAGCAAGAGCTGGTTCTTCTTCACCTCTAGGTTATTTGTAGCTTACTCATGGTCTTCGTGTCTGGCCTTGAGATGGAAGCACCCACAGGGTGGTTAGATGGGAAGGCCTTTCGAATCAGAGACCCCAGTATTACCCATTAAGGGTTGTATTTACTCTGCGGGTATAGTGGTTCCTATCTTAACAGAATTGTTTTAAGGCTCACAGGAGACTGTGTCCCTGTTAAAGTGTTTGTGTTCTTACTGGCAAAATAATGGGAGCTCAAGAGGTAATCACAATGATAGTGAAGTATGTTAGAGTAGTGGTCCAGGCTATCAGATCAGATGGAGGATTTTCACGCCTTATTACCCTAGAATCTACCTTCATTAGGCCCCTTAGCTTCTTTTTACCTTTATGAAGCAGTCCTTCCTGCCTCAGATATTCAATTGATCAAAGGTTTCTGAGGCCCAAGCATGGGACACTGCTCCAAAGAAGGCACAGTGTTACATGCCTATAATCCCAGCACTTGGGAGGCTGAAGCAGGAGGACTGTGAGTTAGAGGCCAGCCTGGTTATACAGCAAGACTGTGTCTCAAAACAGAGATTCAGCTCTGTTCTACCATCTCAAAAATTTCCTCGTCCCTAGGCTGGATTACGCTTGTCACCTCTGTATTGCCTCCCACAGTGAACGCATTGAGCAGGAAGCTGTCATTCATCCCTGTGTTCTCCATGGCTAGCCAGGCACCTGGGAGGAGCCCTGCACATATTCATTACCAGCTCCTAGGGGGCCAGGAAGGAAACATGGACGGGGGGCGGGGGCTGCAGAGATGTCGGGCTATGGGATTTGAGCTGAGCCTGAGGGATCCATGGGTTTTGAGCTGAGAAGCTCTACTTCAGAGGAAGCTTCTGACATGTCTGCAGCGGACAAGAATGGATCAGAGGAGGCTGAAGGTGGATGCCCCCGTCACAAGTCCCCCCTGCATAGCAGAGGGCATGGCGACATGTTTTTTATTTGAAAAGGTGAAGTCACTCCACTGCCACAGCTACAAAGCTTTAGGAAGAGCAACAAAATTTGCCAGAGAGCAGCATTTTCCTGACCTGCATTCTAAGCTTTTAGAACAGCCCGACAGATGGTACCCTGTCACCTGTGCGGAGGCGCTCCACCAAGACGTTCAGCACATCAGTGTGATGATCTCCCTGTGAATCCCACAGTAACCATTTGTCACTTAGTCTTAAAAGAACCCTGTTGTGGTTGGGAAATGCATAGCATACAGTTGTTGTTGAGTTACTGCAAGCTCCCCAGGGGTCTTCATAGGAAGAGGGGGAGCTCATGCTGCGAGTGACGTCGGGGCACTTCTGTGGTTCTGGATTTTTTTTTTTTTTTGATGGAGAAGAGAGAGGCCTTTGATGGTTTTGGTGTGGAGACTCAGGATGCAGACTCAGGCTGCTTGAAGCCTGCCCCAAAACAAGGTTACCTTCTGATTGAGATCTACTCCTGAAGCCCAGGGATGCCTGGGCAGCAGGATGTCAACTTGCTGCTGGCCTGGTGGTCCCCTTGCAACCCTCGAGGCTGCGCTGGGGTGGGGGCCCATCCTCAGCAACTGTCAGGTTGAGTCATCAGCTGAGCACTGCTAGGCGGCCCAGTTCAGGCAGCGATGGAAAGTGGGATGGAGCTGCTCCTGTAGCAGCCTCTTGTCTCCATCCAATAAAGATAGTCTTAAACTCTAGGACTTTTCATCAAGATCTTAAAATCAGACTCCATCAGATGTGGACTCATTCTTGAGAAGGACTTTAGAGGACCAAAAGGTGGAAACGTGAGAGCACCCACTGTGGTAGCGGGGCTCCCAGCATCTGCCTGCCTTCCAGGAAAGCGTACCCCCATACTGGCTTGGCCAGGAGATGACCAGGAGGATCCAGGGCCTGACTTGTGATTGCACAAGCTGTCAGATACCTCAGTGCCGCTTGTTTAACTGGCAACATGAGAGCCCCTAGACCTGTACTTCTGTGCTGAAGGAGAGAGTGGCACTCAGGGCAGGGTGCTGATTCTTCCCTGGTGGTGGCGTTGCCCTGCTTTCAGGGCTTTGTTATTTTGTGCTGGCTTTGGGTGCCCAGGTAGCAGCGTGGCAGCCTGGCGGGGTGGACAAATTGCCTAGTGTGCCATGCCAGCTTCCATGTGACTTGTGGGCCAAAGCATGAGACACCACGCTGGTATGCACATTCCGGCCGTCCTCTCCCCACACCATGGTGTTGGAGAACTTTTTCCTTTTAGGAGCCGTTTTGAAAATTGGTATGTGGGTGCAGTTTAATTATAGTCACATTTTTTAAGTGCAGCTATAGAGGGCTTTTTTTTTTTTCCTTTTCTTTAGCCATGCGTCAGTTTCTTCAAAGAGCTCATCCTGGCCTGCAATTTCCAGAGTTCTGAAGTATTTTTAAAATAAAGTTGTTAGTCTCTTTGAAATCTGGGCTCTTGCTTCCTTTCAAACAGCAAATGATGACACGCAGGAATAGAGCAGCGCATCTTTTGCCCAACAACGTTCTGAGCTTTATCTTGTTTCCTTTTGTCTTTTTTTTATGTTTTATTTCAGGCCTTTCCTCTCCTGTGGACAGTGGCTTTTTCAACTGCACCCAGATACTGTTTTCCCTAGTAATCTCATTTCTGAGTCTTTCTTAAGGGAAGAATTCAAATGCAGATAAAGCTGTATGCACAACAATGTTTGCTTCGTTTATTAAAATAAAAATTTGGAGATGACCTAAATGCTGCACAAGGAACTTCAAAGACTGCCGGTACCTGTGCACCTGCAGTGGAATATTAGTGTGGTCATTAAAAGTGTTGTCTAAAGCAAACTTTGTAAGAGAAATTGCTCACACTACAAGGTGAAAAAATGAAGTCCCTGCAGCATCCTCTCTGCCCACGTGCGTAGGAGGCAGTCTAGCAATGTGCCTTCAGGGGGCGCCAGGAAGACAAGACATTTGGCAATATTCAGTTACCTGTTTCCCATAATAAACAGCAGATACTCTGTTAGCATCAGAGTTTTCGAGAAGGAACAGAACTGTACCCAGTGATGCTATTGTGATCCTTTTCTGGGTCCAGTGCTGTCACCTGGGGACTAGTGCCTGACCATTCCAACATCTGAGCCATGCTCCTAGTAATCCCATTTCCAATATCTGGCGTTTATTGTAAAGACTGTTTAAACAAATGGAGCAGTGTGTGAGCAAGAACACTTTTTGTGTTCAATAATAATAAATAAATAAATGTTATCCTTCTTTCTTGATGCTATTTCTGCTTCCAGGCAAATCAGCTGGAGTGGAACTGGGTTCCCAGAATGAACTGATGGAGAGGTGAGTATGTCATGTTTATTAAGAAAACTTTCTAGGACTTTGTGGTTTGGTTTGCCTGCCAGCTTCTTTAGTGTTCTGATCTCTCTCATTCTGTCAACCTTCTTTTTTTTTGCAAATAAGCCATAAATACCTATAGAACCGACAGTAGCCGTACAAAGCCAGGAGTCCCCATGCTGAGTGTCCCATGCTGGGTGTCCTGCAGCCTTCACTTCTTAGTTCTGGGTGACTCATGATTGGAACCAGATGACAGATTGCTTCTGGTTGGCTCCTAGGTGTCTGCAGTACAAAACCGCCATACTCTTTAACTTGATGTTTGAGCCCTTCTTAGGCTGACCTATCTTTTCCCCTCTTCTCCCTTGGCTTCTTTCCCTTCCCATCATGCACCCCACCCCATGCTGCAGTCATGCCTGGTTCTTGTTCTTCAGGTTAAGCCTGTGCACTAGGCACCCTGAGTCCTTGCTCACAAGGTCAAACTTCATTTCTCAGTCTGTTGGGATGGAAATGAACCTGGCACTCCTCCACATCCCAGGATCAGTTATTCCTGTAGTAGATGTTGGCACATAACAACGTGGTAGCAACTCTCTATATGACATTACTACTTCCTGCATTCATCCCTTGATTCCCAGAATCCTCAAAAGAAGACAAGAGTTGGCTAGCATTCACTAATGTTGCATGTCAGCTGTACCTTGGTGTTTCACTTTTATTACTTCTGACACTTCAGGGTAAGATTTTAGGGTCTGTTTCAGGATGAGGAGTCTGTGGGTCAGAGTTGCCATTGAGATGCCAAGCTGGGACTTGAACTTGAATCGGTCATACTATAATACCTGTGCACCTAGTGTGACTCTGTGTTGTCTCTGTGGGCCAACACAACATATGAGTTGTATACCTTCTGAGCTTGCTTCAGTGGCCTACTGCACATGCCAAGGTCTTGCCCTCCTCTGTTGACTTGCTAAAGGTTCCGAATGCTATTTATATAGGGGGTACCTGCCTTTAGGGTACATATCTTTAGGGATGTGGTCCTTTGGACTCCTGGGGATAAATAAAGAAATAGCATGAGATTCAGCATCTTAGAGTTTATTGGCATTACAAAGGATGCAAGCATCATGCAGCAGGCAGGCAGGGCGGTACCACAGCTCCCTGGAGGACATTTTAGTCAGAGATTTTTGTGAACTTAAAAGGTCCTTGTCCCTCTGCCAGATGAGCAAAGATTTCTCCCAGTTCTGCATATACTGTTTCTATCCTTGCAGGTCACATCCTGCTTCTGCTGATTGGCAGGTGGAGGAGAGTACAAGGAAGGGCTTCCCTAAGTGGAGGCTGTCTGGAACGCATCCAGACCTGGGGCGAGGGAGACATGGCCCCTGTGAGGAGACTGGCCTAGGAGGGCCCAAGCTGGACAGGCAGACTGGGCCCATTGAGCTGGTCCCCAGAGGACCTGTTAAGAGCCCCACACTATTCTACAGGAAGAAAGGAGCCTTTGAAGGATGTGGCCGAATCTGCCATTATGGAGGCAACTGAGTGTGTTTGGAGACGGGTTCGAGGGAGACATGGAATCTTTTTTTTTTCTTCTTTTTATCTTCAGCCAGTGTGTTATCTCTTTACCTTTTTGGAAGATTTGTTTTTCTTCCATTCCACCCATTTCCGCTCTAACTTAGCCTTCACACGTTGCTCCTGAGCTAATTAAATGGATGCCCTTGGCCCCCACTGCACTTTTGCAAGCCAGCAACAAGCCCAGGCATCCATCACGCTGTCTCGGCTCCGTTGCATCCGGTGTTTACCTGTTAATGAATGCATCGCAGCTTCCGAGTCCTTTGCTCTTGTCTGAGCTCATGAGGAATGAGACTGTAGCCACTGACAAGAAGTAATAGGAAAAAGTGGGAGAGAAAAGAGCTTAAATTAAGGAGCTTATCTATAATGGAGATTCATGTGAGCTTTTCACAGCCTTTGGATTGTTTTTCCTCGTGACTTAGGTGGTCCTTGGGAAATACAGGTTAATAACCAGATGATGGTTGGAAGAATGCTATTTGGGACTTGCTTGGGGACCACACAGGTTTTGAAAGTTTTAAATCCCTAAGGCCACACTGTAGCTGTGGGCTGGACTCCTACATTCTCCCGCAGCCTTGAAGTCAGTAGACCAGAGTCAGATCTGAGCAGTGATACTTAGAAGCTGAGCCAGTGGCTAGTTTGTGTGAGCCTCTGCCTCCCCAAATGTAGAGGAGGCGAGAGCTCCCTTCCTCAGGGGTGTCTGTGAGGACCAAGAAAGGTCCAGATTGCTTAGGATAGAGCAGCACTGGGGCCCGCTGGCCCAGGCCCTCTCCCGGGTTGCTTCGCTGTAAGCCACACTGGAAAGGGGAAGCAGCCTCAGGGATTCTCTGATGGCCTGGCTTGGGGGTTTCAGTGTGGCAAATGACTTCTCTCTCAATTCCAATGGTTAAGGACTGAGGAAGACAACCCAGCCTACCAAGACATTCTCCCCAAATCTCCGGAGCCTCCCGCCTCTCATATATTATCTGATGATGAAATGTCTGAGAAGTCTTTCCTCTCACGGGACCCAAAGCAAGACAGTGAGACCGAGAAGATCTCAGCAGTGTCGAGCCGCTTTCCTCAAGGTGAGTGACGCTTTACTAAGTGTCTTCCACACGGCCAGGTGTGACGCTCGTGTGCTCTCTTGCCTTTGCCTTGGTTGAGCAGAGTGTGGTGTCTGTTCTGTGACAGAAGATCACAGAGAGTCATTTATAACTGGGGAAAGAGTGGTTGACTGGGGAAAAGTCACTTTTTTTTTTTTTATCTCCTTGCTTTCTTTTTTTTTTTTCTTTTGTAGTGCTGAGGGCCTAGGCAAGTGCTTTTCCACTGAGCTAAATCTCCAACCCTCAATGCTGTTTTCTAAATGATGACTTAGTATGAGACTTGCTAGTCCCCATTCTTTTCACAGAGGTAGGGGAGGACTGGACAGAACTGGAGTTGTGTGATTGAGAGTTTGGTTCCCCTCCCTTTGTCCTTCAGCTCGTCCTGAGGCAGGGTCACTGGGACTGAGGCCTCTGTTGCTTTGAGCTCTTCAGATACCCAGAGCCACCCCCATTCCATTCTGTTTATTTTGTATAATTACAAAGTTGATCATTATATGAATCTGCACTTTCCCTTTAGTATTGCTGTTGGGCCATTGGTTCAAGCCCTTTGTCTTGGTCTATTCAGCTTGCTGTGGCTTAGTACCATTGATTAGAGGGGATTACAACAACAGAAATTCATTTTCCAGTTCTGGAGACTCAAAGACCATGACCAGGGTGCCAGGCAGCTTGTTTGGGTTGTAGTGAGGGTCCTTTTTCGGGTAAGAGACTTCTTACAGGTCCATGTGACAAGGAACTAATCCCATTTGGCCTCAGGCCAAAGATCCCTGCTCTTGTGCCATCACACTCAAGCTAAGGCCTCCAACACAGGAGTTTTTTTTTTTTTAATTTTATTTTATTTGTGAACATACTGTACAGAGGGGTTACAATTGCATGGGCAGGATAATGTGTACATTTCTTACCAAGCATTGCAGCCTCCTCCTTTGTTTACCCTTCCCATCCCTTCCCAGCCTCCCCCCTCCCCCCCATCCCAATCCTTCTCCTTCCCCCCTCCCCCCACCCCCTTCTCCCCCCCCACACCGACGTTGTAAAGCTCGTTTTTGACATGACAACTTGTACTTCTCATTGTTGCATCAGGTCCACCTGTATCCTTAAACAACTGGTTTTTCCCCATCTCCTCCACAAGTTATACTGGCATCAAATATAGTGAAAGCAGGGGTTATACTGTGGTGGAGGGACATACAAATCAACAAAGAAATAATCTTATTATAAATGCGTTAGAAACACATGCATGAAAGAAAAAACATTAAAATACATATCTAAGGGTTCATTTTCCTGACATCACATTATCTGACCTTTTCTGCTTGACTCATACATATACTAGATATTGCAAATAAGGGAAACCATGGGACCTATGTTTCTTTGGGCCTGGCTTACTTCACTTAATATAATTTTTTCCAAGTTTTTCCATTTCCTAACAAATGGGGCAATGTCATTCTTTCTGATGGAGGCATAGAATTCCATTGTGTATATATACCACATTTTCTTGATCCATTCATCTACTGAGGGGCATCTGGGTTGGTTCCATATCTTAGCTATGGTACATAATGCTGCAATAAACATAGTTGTGCTGGTAGCTTTAGTGTGGTCTTGTTTGTAAGCATTTGGGTAAATGCCCAAAAGTGGGATTGCTGGGTCATAGGGGAGTTCTATGTGAAGTCTTTTGAGGAACCTCCATACAGCTTTCCAAAGTGGTTGAACAAGTTTACATTCCCACCAACAATGAAGTAAGGTTCCTTTCTGTCCACATCCCCTCCAGCATCTGTTGTTATTAGAGTTCTTGATTTTTGCCGTTCTATCTGGGGTGAGGTGATATCTCAATGTTGTTTTGATTTGCATTTCTTTTATGGCTAGGGATGTTGAACATTTCTTCATGTGTTTATTGGCCATCCTTCTTTCTTCTTCAGAGAAGTTTCTCTTTAAGTCTTTTGCCCACTTATTTATTGGGCAGTTGTTTCTTTGAAGATTTGTTGCTGGGGGATTTAATTTTTTGAGTTCCAAGTATATTTTAGATATGAGACCCTTGTCCGTTGTATGGCTAGTGAAGATCTTCTCCCCATCCGTGGGCATTCTATTGATCTTGCTAGCTATGTCATTTGCCCTGCAGAAGCTCTGCAACTTTATGCAATCCCATTTGTCCAAACTTTCTTTGATTTGTTGTGTTTCCGGGTCTCTATTCAGAAAATTTCAGCCTGAGCCAAGGAGACCTAGGGTTTCTCCTATTCCATCCTGTAATGTTTTCAGAGTGTCTGCTTTGAGTTCAAGGTCTTTGATCCATTTGGAGTTGATTCTGGTGCAGGGTGATATATAAGGATCTAGCTTAAGTTTTCTACATGTAGTTAACCAATTTTGCCAGCACCATTTACTGAAGAGGCTGTCTTTCTTCCATTCTATTGTTTTAGCTCCCTTATCGAAGATTAGATGGCTATAGGTCTGTAGGTTCATTTCTGGGTTTTCAATTCTATTCCATTGGTCCTGAGGTCTGTTCTTATGCCAGTACCAAGCTGTTTTGATTACTATGGCTTTATAGTAGAGTTTGAAATTTGGTATTGATATTCCTCCAGCAGTGTTCTTTCCGTTGAGGAGTGTTTTTGCTATTCGGGGTCTTTTATTGTTCCATATGAATTTTTGGATTGCCTCTTCTATTTCCTTGAAGAATGAGGTTGGAATTTTGATAGGTATTGCGTTGAATTTGTAGATAGCCTTGGGAAGTATTGCCATTTTCACGATGTTAATCTTTCCAATCCAGGAGCATGGGAGGCTTTGCCATTTTTTTAGTTCTGTCCAACACAGGAGTTTTGAGATAGAGCTATTCAGCCCCCAGCACCCATGTCTTCCTCTGGCTGTGGGCTGAGCTGGTGGATCAGATCCCAGGACCTGCCCTTACACCTCCTTCCCTCTGTACCTCTACTTGCCATCTCAGTTCCCTCCTATAGGACTCAGTGATTATATCAGCCAGTCAGGTAGACTTCTCTGGGAAAGAGCAGATCATAAATATTTTGGCTTTGTAGGGATGTGGTCTCTGATGCAGGTGCCCGGCTCTCCTGTTAAAGCACACAGTAGCTACACACAAGGTGTGTATGTGGCCAGCAGTGTTGCAGAGAACCTGAATGTACAGAGAGGTGTGGGCAGTCTTTGGCTCATGGTGTAGAGTGTCAGGCATACACTTTGGACCTCACTTGGTAGTCTGGTCTCTTGTTTATTCCAGAGGTTTTTCTTCCCGCTGGCATCTCCTCACTAAAGGTTCTTATTAATGCTTGATTGTATAGGTCATTATTTTTAAAATTAAAAAAAATTTTGTAAGTAGTTAGACCTTTTTCTTTGAGATGAAAATTTATAAGGAGCCTTCACCCTATGTGGGTTGACCTCTAAGGCTCCTCTAAAGACTGATACACAGCTAAAATATACTTGGAGCCTGCAGTGTGTATTCTTGGGGTGACATGAGGGTCAGCTGGGTCCCTCAGCAGCTAGACTCATAGACTTGGGGTTTCTAGCAATGTCTCTGTGTGATCATTGTGGTTTTCTGAGTATTTGATTTCTCTGTCATTTCTGGCTCTAGTTTTTGTCTTCCTCTAGCTTAAGGTAGATCACAAATTGTTTCCTATCCCTGATGCTACTTCTTTCTGCACAGAATTAGTGTAATGTGGCTCTGTGAGTCCTTTCAAGAGCCCAAAGACGACTCCCACGAGACTTGGTTTAGATGCTGGAGGTTATAAGGAGCTAGAAGCAGAGAGTTGACTACCACATGGTCACCCAGAGGCTGGAAAGGGTAATGTGTGAGATCTTCTCCTCAGCACATCCTGGTCTTATCAGTGCCGCTTTCTTCCTCCTCTAGGTCCCCCTTTTCCTCCTCCACCCTGTGTGCCTCCCCACTGGTTTATATCTCATGGAGAACCATTGAGTCACCTCTTCTAGTTCTGTTCTGCTGGGGCCCATGACTCGGGCTCTCTCTGTTCCTCTGAGAGGACAGTGCTCTTGGGAGCCATCCTAACCTATCCACAGTCTTTGTTTCTCTTCAATCTTTTAGTCTCTGCATGTTTTCCTTTTTGTCATATTTGTGACCTGTGTAAGACATAATTTAGTGCTTGTTCTTTTCTCACTCAACATTATATTGTAAGTTTCCTGACATGTTGGTAGATAGCGTCACTTTTAGTGGCTTTTGCAACAGTCCATTGAATGGCTGAGCTGCAGTTTTCCTTATGTTCCTGTGGCTGAACATTGAAGTCATTTTTAGAATTTCACAATTGTAAACAATGCCGTAGGGAGTGTCTTTGAACTTGAAGCTTTTTCTTTTATTTGGGGGCATGTTTGTAACATGGATTCTGTAAGTGAGAACTACTAGGCAAAAGATACATACTTTAAAAAATAGTTATTTCATAGAGGATTTATGATTTTTAAGGAGTTAGCATTTGTCAGAAGATCTTACTGTAAGGGAGACAGGCCAGTATAGGGTTTCTTCCTCCTCAGGATGGCTGCATAATTGATATGTGGTGTCCAGTTCGACTGGGAACATATCCTCAAGCCCGAGGCAGTAGTCCAACCCCTGGCCAAAGCCTCAGTGGAAGATGGTTTGTCTTGATAGTCACAGAGCCAGCAGTTTGAGACCTGGTAAACCAGCAGGGAAGACAACAGTCAAAACTGACAAGCTCCCGATGGACTCTGGCCTTACTAGCCTCTGAAAGGTGTGCAGGCAGCGAGGAAGGGACCTGAGGTACAGTGCCCAGATGTGCCCAGAGTGTGTTGCAGACAGAGCTGTTCAGTGCTGTGCTGCATTTGAGACCTGCAGCCATGCCACCAAAAGACTTGCCACACTTCTGGCATTAATAGCAGATAGCTGAAGGTCTGGGAATTAAGTCATCTCATAAACATTCAAATTCATGGCAAAATTACTATTTAATTAGGAAAAGATCTGTAACATTGTGCTACTTTTAAATGAAAGTCATTTTGGAGGAATTAAAACTAGGTCATAACATTAGTATAATGTTTTAAAACAAACATTACTAAGACATACTGAGTATACCCTAATTGATGAATTAAAGACATTAGTTTTGCCTTTGGATACTTAATGTGATTATGTTTTAAACACTGACTCTAGAAAGCCACCTCTAGATTGAAACTGTTTCTCTCTTTCTTTGTTAAAAGTGTGGTGTGGCTGGGGAAGAAAAAGTAATGCTCATCTTAAGGAAAGTTGAAACATTTAAATTTTAATCTATTACTAAATAATATGATAAAATGTAACAGAATACTTGAAAAGTCTAAAATCTGTCTTCCTGAGGTAACTGATTTCTTTTGTACATTTATCTTTCATGTTTGTATATTTTTATGTAGAGTGGTGATTATATTGAGTAACCAATTTTGTATCAGTTTAAAACTTAACAAAATAACACGATACATTTTTCCATGACATCATGTAGTTTTATAATGCAACGGAATAGCTATGAAATTCTGCATCATAATGTATGTATGCAGTTAAGTGGAGCCCTACATGGGAATTGTTTGGTGAAAGACATTGGAACAGAACTTTTCTAAGGCGAATAATATAAATAGCTGCAGAAGGTCTTGTGCTTTAGATTCACGCTAACAGGATACACTCTTGAGATTACTGTTCTTATTACCATTCTCACTAGCATTGTGTTGTTTTATTTTAAGCTTTCAATTAGTAAGTGGTAAGTAGATAACATATTCCTTTCAGAAAATTAGTCTCAATATCTGGATTCATTATGGAGGTAGTTTAATCAAGTTTCAGGCAATTCAGACAGACTTGAAAGTGATCTGTTAGTTTCACCATAAGGAAGATTTTAAATTAATATTTGATATTGAGAAGAATAAAAGGCTACATTAGAGGTAGCATTAAAATTGTATGGGAATATAATTTTTTGGAATGATGTAACGTAGCTTCCTTGTGGAGGACTGGAGAGAACCATCATGGCACCAAGGCCGTGGGCCGTGGGAGACTGCCTGGCCTCTCCCAGCCTGGGAAGGACCTGCCAGATGCTGACTCTCTTAGTACATCAGATACTGTTTGGAATTTCCAGATCCTTACATAATCTATAAATTATTCAACTTGTCGGGGCTTCAGACTTTAAATTAAAAATGCTCTTCCTTCCTGTAGACTTACTAATGGAACACATACAGGAAATTCGAACTTTGAGGAAACGCCTAGAAGAATCTATTAAAACAAACGAGAAGCTACGGAAACAGCTGGAACGGCAGGGGTCTGAACTGGAACAAGGTAAGGTAGGGCCTTCCCACTGGGTAGTAGAGCCTGTGAGGGCCTCAAGGTGATATATTTGCCTGGAACACATTTGCAGTCTGGGGACAAGATGGGTTCTTGCTAAGAGTCCACTTCTGTCTCCATCACTCAAAGAGTCTGCCAGCTTCTGGACTGTGACTCGAGGCTGACTCTCCTTTGGACTTGGGAAGCTGTGGAGATGCACATCAGGATTCTAGAGTAGAACAAAGCTGTATTTTATCTTGTCATCAATAATAGATTATAAAAATATCAGCATTTTATCAGTCTGGTGGGACTCACATGCCAAGAAAAGGTCACCAGTATGCCTGCATAGTCACAGTTAGCTCCCAGTGAAATGATCTTCTGTGAAAACTGAGCATCAGTTTCCTATAGATAAGACATGCACATCATTCAAAACCAAAAACTTCCCTTCTTTACTGGTTAGGTCTGTTCTCACTTCCTTCCTTCCCTCTTGGCTGTTGCTTGTATCCTTACAGTGGTTAAAAAAAAAACAGATAGAAATATATATTCTTATTCTTCCCCTCACTTATACAAAAGGCAGCATCCTTAGTGTTCACGGTCCTGTCCAGTTTCTGTTGACATCTGTCCTTGCTTCCTGAGCGAGAGTGCTCATGTCGCTAAGAATGTAGACTGAGCCTGGTATATTTGCTGGGAAAAGCTGAAGTTGGTTTGGCTATTGTAGGGTGTGGTTCCCTGCCTTTTGTTTACTAGTTTTGTGACTTTGGACAATGTATCCCACCTCGCCGTTTTATTTCCTGAAGGGTCACTGTGAGATTACATACATGGAGTAGTGTCACAATAGGTCCTTGCTCGCTGCTCACTCAGCGAATGGTTGCTTTCACCATCTGTTTTATTATTGAATCTTGTTTAACACTGGAGCGCTGCAAAATTATTTCCGGTTTTGAGAAGTGAGATTATTGACATATAGAAAGATAGAATTCCATCAAAGGTCTTTGGTCCCTCAGCCCACTTATTCCTCGCGAGCCCACTGTAGCCATCAATTTAGGACAGTGTTACAGTTTTATATGTGTTACAGTTTTCAAGATAAACTGGTTCCATTTCTCTCCTTCCCTCTCTCCTTCCCTCCCTCCTTTCTCCCTTTTTCCCCTCCTCTCTCCTTCCCACTCTGCCTTCCACTCATTTCACCCCATCTTGCAGCCCTCCCACTCCCTGCCCCCCAGAAATTGATTAATCTGAATTATTAGTCGTATCAAACACAGGAAAGAAATACACGCCTGGACCCTTCACATTCACTCTTGGTAATGCCTGAATTAGATTCATTCTGTTTTACATTTTCCCTGGCAAATCCAATTATAGAATTATTTGGGGGCTCAAATGGCCACCGGCTACAATGGAGCGGGCAATTGCTCTGGAGAGTAATTCTGTCTGACAGGAAGGTTTACAAAAAGGCATTCATAAAGTATTTACGCTGGTGGAAAGACATTCTGTTCTCACCATGTTGTCATGGTCTCTGAAAAGACAAAGAAATGAACGCGGGCTTGCCTCCCCCACTGTGAGTGTGCCCCTTGGGAGGAGGTTTGAGAAAGGCAGGACTCCTTATAATGCTGGGGTGGAATATTGCTAAATGAGAAAGGCAGGACTTCTTATAGTGCTGGGGTGGAATATTGTGAAAAATGTTCTCGTGACTTGGAGCTTCTTCCTCAGCTCTCAGGCTCATTGCGGTGGCGTTCAGAGGAGACACCAGCTTTGTAGCACTGGAACGGCCCCAGCTAGTGGGCCGTGACTTCTCAGGTTTATTCTGTGTCAGGACTGCTCTTTGGGCTTAGGCTTAGTTATTCCTTTGCACTTTATCCAATGTGCACCTTAACTTTGGTCAGTATAGATGTCAGTAGATTTTTTTCTTAGCTCGTTCAGGCCTCTCTTTGGTCCCTCTTCTGTTCCCAGTCCCACCCACCCACCCATCCATCCATCCATCCATCCATCCATCCATCCATCCATCCATCCATCCATCCATCCATCCTGATGTTAACAGAAATGGTAACAGCAAGAACAGCAGCAATGTCAGCCTCTCCTTCCCCTTTTTAAAATCCAGTACCAGGGATTAAACCAGGGTCAGCATGTACTAGGCTCTGCATTCTGAGCATAGCCCCATCTCTTTGTTTTTGTTTTGTTTTTGAGATAAGCTCTTTTAACTTTGCCCAGATTGGCTTCAGTCATGATCCTCCTACCTCCACCTCCTGAGTATCTGGGATTGTAAGTGTGTGTCACCATTCGTGGCTCAACATTAGACATTTATATTGAGTTAAGAAAGACTCAGTAAAGTGGTGTGACTTGTCTGAAGTCACAGTTATTATGAAGCCAAACCCACAGTTCAACCTAGTTATCTCTGAAATGGTAGCAGAGTTCAAAAAGGAGAGTAGAGCAAGATGGTGGAGAGAGACATAAAAAAATCATATGACATGTGATGAATGACTTCCTGGCAGGAAAAGAAAAGTGGAACGAGAATGAACTTCTGAGAGAATTGGTTGTATATTACTGGTGCTCCATTGTGTACCAGGCTGTTTTCAGCTACAGCAGAATAAAATAGGAGGAAAAGCAGGTATAAACAATAGACATTTATATTTTTGTATACAGCAAGAACCCCAGAGGCAAGTAGTTCTAAGGTAGGTTGTGTAGTTGAATGATAGAAGGTTGGGATTGGTGTCTGTGATGACTGTAGTAATTACTGAGCACCTCAGCCTCCTGGGACATTGTCTGAAGCAGAGGAAAGAAGAGGTTGGGGTTGTTGTTTTCTCCTTTCACAGGGGCAAAAAAAAAAAAGTCCCTGAATCCACCAGCAGGGGCTTCTTGTAGTCCTATCTTCAGGGCTTGTTGAGGGCGGTGGCTTCTGCTCAGGTGTGCCCTGAGGATGGCCTAGAACTCAGGGGTCTCATTTCATCTGTGGTTGCAAGTGCACTCAGTCAGCTCAGAGGCTGGAAGAGGCACCCTGCACACAGTGAGCGCTCTCCAAGGGAAGGCAGCTGAAAACAGGAAACGGGTAATGCGAGATGAATAAGTTGAGGGAGGGGAGAACTGGGGTGAGGGTCAAGGGAGGTGTCCAGAAAGAGGTGGCCGTAGGCTGATCTAGAGGAAGCAATGGGTTTCAGCAGCGAGGCCACAGCTTGGTAAGACAGATCCTACTTGCTAAGTGCACACTTAGAACCAGGATTGGAAAGAGTGATTTCACAAGTGAGGAGGGCTTTGGGCATGTAGGCAAAGGGAGCTAGTTCCTCACGCTGTAGTCACAGGGCACAGAAGACAGAAGGAGTGGCTGGCTGTGCTCAAGGACATGAGGGTTCAGAGAAGAGAGGGCATGGGGTCGTGAGTAGAGGGAAACCGTGAGATTGGAGGGAGCCTTGGAGGTCTGGCTCTGTACTGAGAAGTGCAGAGCTTGCGTTTTGTTTGTTTGTCTTTCACAGTGCCAGGCCACCAGATAGTTTTGAAGAGAACAATGGAAGGATTGTGGTTAGAATGATAACTCCTTAGGCAGAGCAGCAGGGAGGTTAGAGCTTGGTGCTCAGCCTGAAAAGGAGTCTTCGGGGCTTCCAGACATCTGGGGAGAAGAATCATCAGTCATGATTGCTGCCGGGGCAGAAGAGGAGAGGAGAATTTCGCTTGGTGTGGGGGTCCTGGTGGTCCTCTCCAGAGGCTAGAGGCCGATAGGAGAGGTCAGAATGGGAGGAATCAGCTGTGGCTCTGGGGACTGGGTGGCTCCTGGGGCTGAGTGTCCTCCAGGATGAGGCCCAAGCAGGCAGCTGGCTCTGGTGATTGAGGTGGCCCCGCCTGCCAGGTCTCTGCTTGGTTTACTCTCAGGGCCGGTGATTGGGGAGTGCCCCCCCCCATTTTTAAGCCACTTCTCCTTTTCCTTTCCTTTCTTCTGGCAGTCACAGGAGTGGTTTTTGTTGCATGGTGCATTTCTTCATTACTTAAAACTATTTTCTGGGAAGTTCCATCCATCCATATATATAGGCTACCCATAAATGACTGTTTCCGTGTGCTTTTTAGGTCCCACAAACACTCTTACTCATGGTTCTGAGCTGCACAGTTCTCTGATATCTGAGATCCACTTCCTGAGGAAGCAAAACCAGGCCCTCAGTATGATGCTTGTGAAAGGATCCAAAGGTAAGAATTACTGGGCCACCGCAGCCTAGGCCTCATAGTCCCTGTGTTGGCTCACCTAGATTCAAAGCTTGTCATTGTCTCAACAGCGTTATGAAGTATCAGGCGCATTTTTTTGAATGTGTTTGTGGTGTTGGGATCTGAACTCAGGGTCTCATGCTTGCTAGAAGGGTGCTCTACCACTTGAGCCACCTCTCCAGCCCTTTTTGCATTAGTTATCCCTTCCCCTTACCCCCAGCCTGACTTCAAATAGTGATCCTCCCAATCTCTGCCTGGCCAGTAGCTGGGATTATAGGTGTGAGCCACCACATCTAGCAAGTATTCCTGTTTCATAGATGAGAAAACTAGGGTTCATAAGGTGCTTGTGATAAGTCGTATGAGGCCCTCAGCACAGTGTCGATACCAGCGTCCCAGAACATGTTAGTTCATTTCCTTGTTACTTATCCCCTTTACACCCTCCTCTTATTGGGGAAGAGAGAAGGGCTCGACATACATTATTGGAAAATCTCAAGCAGAGACTTCTCCTACTAACATAGTTTATCCAGTGTTTCTTATAGAGATCTTCCTCTTAATTCCTCCTATTTGAAGTTTAGCTCCCAAAGAGCATTTAGTCAAGTTATCTTTCAGTATTTAAAATGAAATGGAATGAAGTATTACTAGCCCTGTTTTGCAGGTAAGAAGTGGGCCTAGGGAACATTGCCTGCCTGTGGTCACAGAGCCAGAAGGTGGTAGAGTAGGAATTGGGCCAGATTATCCTTCTGTCCCTAGGGGATATTGAGCTGATTTGGCTTAAGAGATGAGACTGAGGCTCTGTAGTCATTTGCTCACTTGGTAAGCATTCTCGGTCTCCTGTAATATACATCAGGGTCTATGAGATTCTGCTACAGAAACGAACAAATGCTGGTCCCTTCCCTCAGCAGCTTATTGTCTGATGGGAGACAGCCAAACACTCTCAAGCAGGCCACTAGGAATGCAGGCCAGAGAGCTGAAGGACCTAACCCCAGAACTGCTGGTCCTCAAGGGCTGAGTCTAGAGGGGTGGGGAGGGATCAATAAGGATGATTCAAGTTCAGAGGAGCTGGGGGCTTTCAGAATGGAAGGAGGCAGACAAGGCCTACGGTTAGAGGTAAAGAGAGTGGAGCAATGCGCAGTTTGTTGTGTCTGCATTTAACACCGTCTGGAGCCTAAGCTTGCAGAGAAATGGCCATGTTGTGTTTATCTGTGGTGTCAGAAGCTGGCATGGTAGCGCCCAGCACTGGGGAAACTGAGGTTGGAGGACTGCAAATTCCAGGCTGGCCTGGGTGACATAATGGTGAGTTCCAGGCTAGCCCGAGCTACATAGCTAGACTTTTGTCTCGAAGCTGAACAAAGGAGGCATGGCAGAGACCCTGGGTCTGCCCTGGGCTCTGCCACTTCCTGGCTGTGAGGCCTCACCACGTGGCACGGGAGCCTCACTGCCCCTGCCTCGGAGCTGTGCTGTGCAGATTGGGTGGGATGGCGCAGGTGGCGGGGGTCGTGGGAAGTCCGTGCAGATAGTGATGGAAGGAACACAGCGGCCAGCACCTCTCCCCTTGCTCACGGCTTGCCTGCACGTGGCTCCAAACAAGCTGACTGAGCCTGTGCTACGCCCTGTACAGAGATGGTGGCTCGGTCGTCATCACGGGAGCACAGAGGAAGCGGAGGCATGGGGAAGTGAAGGCGAAGGTTCCCAGTCAGCCAGTGGAGGAGTTGCACTAGACCCCGCCACCCTCCAGCTCGCTGCTCTTGGCCCCATTGTCCCCACTGTGTGCTTCCAGGAGAGTTTGATCCTCAGCCAGGGCAACATCCTCCACAAAGGCTAGTAACACTCTCCACCCCCTGTGGTCTCCGCCCACAGCTTGCTCGGGGAGGGCAAAGTAACCAGATTTGCAAGGCCCATTATATAATAGAAAATTAAACAGGCCCATTGCATCCCAGTGATGTTTAATCTACAGCCTTGATGTTGACAGATTTATCTGCCCAAAATGTGGAAGATAATTGGAATGCCAAAATCATAAATGCCAGATTAAATCTCATTCCTTTTTGTATTCTTGGAGTGCTCCAGCTGAAGTGGTGTATCTCCGTAATAAGGTTGGGAGAAACAAATGGCATCCCTTCTCAGTGGCGCTTTTTGGTATTTGCAGATAAACAGAAGGAGAATGACAAATTACGAGAGTCTCTCTCCAAAACGGCCGCGAGCTTTGAGCACCTTCAGCAGGAGTGTGCGGGAGTGAGGGAAGAAAACGAAAGGCTGTGGAAGGACCTTGCTGAGAGGGAGAGCCACAACCAGCAACTGGCCCGGGAGCTGAGCAGGTGCAGCCCGACTCCCAACCCCTGCTCTGCCCGCCACCCATGCGGGTGCTGGGACAAGGCACGCTTGTCCCTCCCCTAGTGTGCAGAAGGGACACACATACAGGCATATCCCGTCTAGAAGGTATACAATGTGTGAAGATGGTCTTGAGGAGGAGGAGAGGGTTGGGAGTGGATTGTTGCTTTCCATCTAGGAAATGGCATCTGAAAAGATTCTGTATGAACAGAGAGCAGTGGCTTGGGGGCGTGAGAACTTCCAGGCCCTGACACAGAGTAGTGTCTGTAGCCCGGCAGGTAGGCCATTGCCTCTGGAGAGGGCCAGGGCAGGGTAGAGAGCACCGGGAGGTCCAGATACTGAATCATACCTGGCCTCTTAGCCATATGAGAACTTTGCGGTGGTTTGTTGGTTCTTCTACTGGGGCAGAACTGGGATTTGAACTCAGGCCTTGCACTTGCTGAGCAAGTGCTCTACTACTTGAACCATGCCCTAGCCTTTTTTGCTTTAAAAATTACTTTTCATATAGGGTCTCTCAGTTTATGCCGAGGCCAGCCTGGACTCTGATCCTGCGACTTAGGCTTTCCGTGTAGCTGAGAATACAGGCATGTGTTCTTCGCAGAGATTTTAGAAGCTGAGATGGAGGTCTTGTGAAGTCAGCCTAGGGCTGACCTCAAACCACTCTCCTTATGATCCCTGCCTTCTGCATAGCTGGGATTACAGTTGTGTGCCACTGGCTAGCCCAGGATTTTGGGGTTTACTCAGAGTGCCCTAGGAGGCCACTGAGAGATTCTGAGCAGAAGAATGACAGGAATCTGCAGGTTTTAAGATTCATACGGATCACTCTTCTGCAGTTTCCCTTTGAGTCTGTCTTGTTCCAGGAGTTTTCAGTTGTCTGTGGTAGTGTTCATGAGTGCCCATTTCCTTCAGGGCGAGCAGCCTCATCCTACCTGCCCAGAGTGTGCAGGGTATAGCAAGACCACTGTCCATCATCAGCCCTGGCATAGGTCCAGGCTCTCCTTACACATCTGCACACCTGGGAAGGCACTGGAGCCTTTCAAGTTCTGCTTTCTCATATCTGTGAATGCAGGATTAGAGTACCTTTAGGGTATTTGTGGAGACTCCCTGAGAGAATGTGTGCAAAGTGCCGGACGCGAGGGCACTTGGGAATTCTTGGCCACACTCATCTGCTTTTGTCCATACTCTTGGCCCAGGTGGTGTGAACCTTCCCTGGGGGCTCTGGGTAGAATTCAGCTCTTTCTCCATGCTGGGACATTTCAGGACACAGGAGGAGGTGATGTCAAAGCAGCAGCTGCTCTCAGAGAATAACGAGCTGCTGCAGTCCCTCCGAGTGGAGCTGAAGGTATACCAGAAGCTGGATGAAGAGCACAGGCAGCGGTGGCAAGGTACTGGGTGCTCGGGGCCAAGTGCTCCCCTTCTCTTCTACCTTCCCTCCTTCCCTCTCTCCCTCTTTTCCTCCCTCCCTTACCTCTTTTTATATTGGACAGCGTTTTCCCTCTATAGTCCAGATTGGCCTTAAACTCAGATTCTCCTACCTCAGCTTCCAAAATGTTGGAATTTCAGGTATATACCACCACACCTCACTTGGGGCCCACTCTTCTTCAACAGTAGCAGGAAATGTGGAAGGCTAAGGCTCACATGTTGGGCCAGCTGAAGTCAGCCTGGCTTAGTGACCTTTTTCAGGTCACTTCACCCTTCAGGCCTGTTTCTGCCCCTGTGAACTTGTCTGTTAATATCCACTGGGTGGAGTTGCTGTGAAAATTGAATGTGTTTGTTTTTTTTTTTTTTTTTTTAGCAAATTGTCCTGGCCCCGTCCCTGGTACATAGTAGGCACTCAGGGAAAAACAAAATAAAATCCTTTCCTGCTTGTGTGTATTTCTTTTGCCCATTCATTGAGCAAGCATGTTAATGGAGCACCTGCCTGTGCCGGACATGGCTCCTGACCGTGGGGCTCCACGTGGCCCTGGTTTTCTCCGTGTTTCCTCGGAGATGGCCAGATCAGAGGGACTCTGCTCACAGGTCTTATATTTCAGAATCAATTTTGAGGTATGGTGGGATTTTTAAAAACTAATTTTCCAGATGGTTTCTCCCTATTGAAAGTTTATCCAGGGAAGGGTCATCTCACAGCGCTCACTCCTCCTCCAGCTGCTCTCCTACTCCTGCTGTTGTGGCTTTTTTTTTTTTTAATATACTGTGGCTCTTAAAATCATCCCCTTTCATTCTATAATTCCAGCCCAAATAGATTTTATTACTACTAGACATAATTTCAGGGTTTGGTGTGCAATTTGCTAGGCTTTTATGGCCAGAAGTGAAAATTAATTTCCAGCTCTTATTTAGCCTGTGGAATAGCAGCAATTAAGTCAGCCAATATTTTTGTTTTTAAAAGTCGAGTTGTTATTTTAAATTGTACCTCATTCTTAGGAAGGGGAAGGTAGATGGTGGTAGTGGGTTCCTCTGAGGGCCAGCCTTCCGATGGTGGAGGATAATGAGACTTCCCTGTGCACATATCTGCAGAGGCCCAAGCTGAGCCGTCTGGAGAAGGCTGGAAGGGGCAGGATCCTTTGAGAGACCTGCATGGCCTCCTGACCGAGATGCAGGCTCTGCGGGCCCAGCTGGAAAAGAGCATTGAAACCAACAGCACCCTGCGGAGCAGGCTGGAGGAGCAGCTGGCACAGGGGGCGAACAAGGCCCAGGAAGGAGCCCTCATTCCAGCCACGCAGGCCCTGTGCATCCCCGAGTGGTCCCTTCAGCTGGACAAACATGGTAGGGTGCCTGTCTTGCCTTACTATGTGTATCTGGGTGCCCCGCAGAAGTGCCTCATCAGGGACAGCAGACAGTGTTCCCTACACACCAGTGCAGCTGACTGCTGGTTTGCGCTCACCTCTGACACAATAGCATTACCTCTCTGACTGGGGGCTTGGTTCTCTCGAAGTAGAATTTGGGATTTCAGCTGCCCTCAGTTCCTCTGGGCATCCTCCCCTTCCCGCCTCTTTCTCCCTTCCCGTTTAGTCCTGTCCATGCCATTCTGAAGCTGAAAAGCCTTTCAGTCCCTCTTAACTGCCTTTAAAAGACAACCTAAGCCTCTCACTCTGGCTTTTAGTATCTCTCAGGGTCCGTAGGAAATAAGTGGATCTGTTTGGTGTTCCCTCATGGGTACTCTGTAGCACTACAGAGATATGGTGGGAGGAGAGAGGAAGACACCCTCTCCACTTCCCCAGCAGGGCCTGGAACAAACCGCAAATGGTCAGGCTCTCAGGAGCCCTAACGGCTGCCTTCTCTGTGCGGTGGGTGAGGGATTGAGGCCCAGAGAATGGACAAGGTTTTCCCAAAGTGGCACATCAAGCAGATAGAGGGAGATATCTTTTCAGCTCTGACTCCAGTGCTGCTCTGAGCTCACCTGCCCACTCTCTAGAGCATGCTACTTGTAGTGGGTATTTGTATCCAGCAGGCAAGACTATCATTGTGCTATGTAGACAAGGATGCTACAAAAGTTTGGACTAGCCAGGTATGATGGCATGTGCCTACAATCCCAGCACTCAGTTGAGGCTTGGTTGCTCTGTGGATCCGGTGTCCCAAACAAAGCTGGCAAGACTGGTACCCAGAAAAGATGTGCCTAAATGCAGCATGTATGGATAAACGAATAGGTGCAAAGGTACGAGCACGAGGCACGATACTGTACTCTCATTCGGTCCTTTCTCCAGGAGCGCTAACCGTGCTAACACTATGTTCCTTCTCTTTTGCATTTGTAGATGGTGACAAATGTCCCGTGCCAAGTGAGAACTCATTTGATTCCACTCAGGCAGTGACAGTAAAATCAGGTAGAAAACCAATGTGGGGAACTGTGGGCATGTTGAGCATGGGGGCAGGACTTTTTAATCGAGGGACAAGTGTCACCCCTTCCTGATGACAGCCAGTTGTCTTTGATCTCAGATACCTCACTGGGTTTCCGCTGTCTTAAAGTGTAGCTACTTTATGGTAGGTTTTGAGGTCCTCCAGTTGTAGACCCAGCCTTATCCCTCTGTGTCAGGGGAGCTGCACAAATGGGCCACCAACCTGCACATAGACTATACTTCCCTCTCTCTGTGACACCCATACCTCCTTTGTCCCCATCTGCCAGTGGAAGTCCTACTACTTCCTCAAGACTCATCAGGAATGCAAATTTCTCAGTGAAATGCCTTTTCTGCTATCCCCAGACAGGATTGGTCATGCATAGTTCTGTTGGTCCAGTGGCAAAAAGCAGCAAGTATAATGTAATTCTGGCTACCTATTAAGTCCACCTAACTGGCTGCTTCTTGCAGGAAGCCTCCTCTGATTTCTCCTTCTGTACATAGATGTTTTTCCTTTGAGCTCTGGCTGAAATCACTGCACAATTCAATTTCCTGCAGTGTCCGTATTCCCATCAGACCCTGGGCTGCTAAAAGATAGACTTGTCTTGGCTCATCCTGTGCATCTAGGGTTTTCTGCACCGTGGGCACTCTGTAAGATGGGGTGAATTGACCTGAACCTCTCCAAGAGATGATCTGTAAGCCTAGTGTGGGTGAGATGTGGACTGAGGCCCAGGGGTCAGGCCTGTTTTCCCTCAAGGTCTGTCTGCCCTCCTGGCTGTCTGTAATGTTGTGAGCTCTGAACACAGGTGCTGACCAATAAATCGGAATCCTCCTTCCATCTTCAGAGACTCCCCTGCTCTCTGGAAACGATGTGGACTCCTTTTCCTGTGATAGTGGCAGCTTGGCCACCAATACTGCACAAGTGTCCTTCTTGGTCACTAGCCACCGCCTGTGGGCCAGCAGCAGTGGCCGCCATATCCTGGGCCTGGCCGAGGACTATGATGCCCTCTGTAAACAGATCAGCCAGGGCCACAAGCTCCTTGCAGAAATGGACCTTCAAACCCGAGAGGCCCTGAACCCCACATGTGGAGAGCCGGGGACAAAGGTAACCTGATCACAGACTTGTGGGGAGAGATGCTCATGCGTTATGAAGGGCTGGCTGAAGTCATGGAGAGGCAAGTGATGCAATTGTCCTCAAGCCCTTAAAGAGGGACCAAGAAATGTAACCTAGGGAAGCTTAGAGGTCTTGTCCAGTAGGAGGAACTGTGCGGTTGGGCAGGTGGGGCTTGGCACTGGGTGAGAAGCTTGTAGAGGTTTTGCCCTGGGTGCCTGCAGCTATTTCACAGGCTCTCTCTTCTGTGCCTGGACTTCTTCTGTCTATCCAGTCACTTAACTATCCTCTGTCCATCTGCCTGTCTGTCTGTTCAGCCATTCATCTACCTGATCTTCCTGGCCAGGCCCCTGTACCTGGGCTCTGGGGCTACTGTGGAGAAGACAGAGGTGCTGGTCTTCATGAAGCATACCAGACCAGACCAGGCCAGACCAAAGCAGACCACACTGTGCCATTCCATCCCATACCTGCACCCACATCTTAATATCTGTTACTGTGATTTCTACAGATGCCCAGCAAAGAACTTGTTCCTTCATCTCTGCTTGCAGAGGTACTTTATTCATTACTCCTCAGAACCGCCTGTGAAGGAGTTGATACCGTTCCCACTTCAGATACGTTGAGAAGTGACTGGAGGCCATCTACTCTTGAACTCAATTCTGAGTGCTTCCCTTCAGTGTCGTGGCACTGCTCCCAGCTCCCAGGACAGTACTGGTCGTCTGTCTCTCCCGTGAAGATGCCACTACCTCTGCCGAGGCAGTGACTCTGAGGACTCTGGTTCCTGAGCTGGCTTCTGCCTGTCTCCTCACCGTCAGCCATCTCCCCTTCCCTAGCTGTCCTGTGAACATGCTGGCTGTGCTCTGTGCCCCTGCCTGCTGCCGTATCCTGTCCCCAGCCCTGGTTTCCCTGTGGAACCCTCTTAGCCACTGGGCCCCTCCCCATTCTCTCTGCCTCATCATACTGGAATCCTCATCTTAAGATACATCTGTCATATCCCCATGTACTTGGCATATGCTTAACTCCTGCACTTCCTCCAGGGCTCAGGGTCAGATCCACCAGCCCCAGCTGGACTAGACCTCCAGCATCCATGAGTCACGGTGCCTGGGCCTTCCTCTGAGAATTTATTGAATATACTTGAGCACCTCACTTCCTAATAGCTGTTTTGGCTTCTTGTTTTGTTGTACTATATTCAACAAATTAATTTTGTATTTTATATTCTATTAGATGGTAAGCTCCAGGAGAGCAGGGATAGTATCCATTTTGCTCAGTTTTAACACCACTAACACCACTACTTAGCACAAGGCCTAGTGTCAAGTATGTGCTTGGTAAATATTTGTTGAGTAAATTAACAGATAATAATAAAATTCTTGTTCTTTTCGGATGAAAATATTTCATATGTAAAAGCTAGAAATTGTAGAAAAGCATTTAAAATTTTTACTAAAGCCAGGCATTGGTGGTTCACGCCTGTAATTCTAGCTATTCAGGAGGCTGAGATCTGAGGATCAAGACTCAAAGCCAGCCTAAGCAGGAAAGTTGATGAGACTCTTTGCCCTAAGTAACCACTGAGCACTAGCCCTGAGCATATAAAGCTCAGGGGCAGCACCCAGGCTCTGAGTTCAAGCCCCAGGACTGAGACTGGCATGTGTGCATGCACACACACACACACACACACACACACACACACACACACTATGTACTAAAATACCACTTAGAGGTGATTGCTTAAAATTTTGACATATTTTAGTCCATTCATAAATCATAAAGTTTATCAAATAACCTATCCATAAAAATATGTTTCCTGTATTTCAGCTAACATAGTATTAACACTTTTCCTATCTCATTAAATATTTCCTGATACTTGTCATGGCTGCCCAGTAAGTCAACATATAGATATAATATCATTTATTTTCTCTTTCACTGTTCGTTCAACATAAAAACTGCAGTGAGTATCTCTGATCAGCTATGAAGGAGAATGATCAGTTAAAGGTCATGAACTTTATAGGGATCTTGATAATTATTAATGCTTTACTTTCCTAAAAGATTTTGTCTGTGAACAAGAATCTGTCTTAGTTCATCTTTGTCTTTGAAGAGTATTTTTTATTTTGGATTTTTTTTCTGTCCATTTGCTATCTAGAGGTGGTTTTATTTTTTTCACTGCTTGTGAAGGCAAATGTTCTTTAGATTTGTTTTCTTCTTTTTCAGATATTTCCCCATCTCTTAGTCATGTTCTTTGTCATGACCTTGACCCCACCCTCTATGTGAGTTTGCTTCTGGGAGCAGAGAGAGTAAGACAGACTTTGGAGGGCCGGAATGTGTGTGTTGTTGGGTTCATTTGCGTGGGAGGTTTTCTGTGGGCCGTAGAGTGGTGTGAGTGGCTCTGCCGTGGCTCTTCTAGGTGTGATAACATGGATAATGTGGCGGTCATCAGTGATTCATTGGTCTAGGTCTCCACCCAGAAATCCTCTCATAATTTACAATTCATTGGCATTTAACAACCATGAATTGATGTCATATGGTATCGAGCTCCTGCTTGGCTTGCGAAACATAGGCCCTTCAGTCTGGAGATTCACACTGTGTGTTCCAGCTTCTTTGCTGCTAATCTCTGTCAACACAGTACTAACAGCTATTTGTCCCCCAGGGTCCACACCTGGTGACTCTGAGCAAGTTTGTCTTCAGTGTGGGTGCAGCCAAGCTGGTCCTGGAAGAGGCCTCAAGGCTGCTGCAGCTCCTCTGGAGAGTCTCACTGCCCCCAAATGGCCAGTGTTCCCTTCACTGTGAGCAGGTAGGTAGTGACACGTGCTTTGGAGGTGGGCTTGTGTTGAGGTCCCTTTCTTGCTCAGCCCAGGGCTGGCCCTAACCATTGTGCCCTCTGTAGGATGGTGTCGGGAAGAGGGAGACCCCAGGTGTATTGTGACTTCTCTGGGTTCTTACTAGATTCCTAACACCTTGAGAGCTGGAAATGGGGTTGGGCTGACTTCAAACTGTGATCCTCTAGATTTCAGTCCTTGAGCAGCTAAGATTATAAGCATAAGCCACCACCATCTATCAATTTTTCTCATATTTTTAAACAAACAAGTGGATGGGTGATGAATGAGTGAATACTTTCTTTACATACTCCTAAACTCTAGTACACTAGTATCTGCCTCAGATGACTTTTAAGGGTAACATTTGTGAGGTAAGCACTCTCAATAGAATGTTTTTGTCCTTAGCATATAACTATGTATAGCATATAACTATATAACATAATGCATATGTAATAAACATATAGTGATCTTCTCCCACTTGTAAATCAGTCCAGGGACTGTTAGCACTCATGCTGATTCATTCTCTTCCTGAAGGTCTCTCTGGCAATTGGTTATATATCTTTCAATTTATAGAACTCTAGAGCCAGGAGAAAGACCTTAGCGATGCTCTGGTGTGGTTTCCCGTGTACACAGACCCCTGGGTAGTGTTAAATTGCCTCTGGCCACTTTTCTAACACAGCCTGTGTTTCATGCAGTGCCTTTTGCTTGGTGTGAAATGTGTGTAAGACATACTTCAGTTTGTAGCAGCAAGTGCAATGGCTTTTTACTATCTGCTGTTTTCTTTGAGTGTCGTTAATTTACCTTTTGCATTTAATGTGCCCTCTCTAGACCATGTGCATCAGTTTATATGAGAAAGTTAGGTGAAGACACAACTTGATTATAATAATTTTTAAGTGGAGGATAAACAATACCAACCCAACAGGCTACTCATAGGGATGTGACGGGAGAGATTGAGGGACATGTTGATTGCTCTAAATAGACCTTGCCTCATAGATTTGACTTTGAAGCTATAAAAATATGTTACATAATTATAAGTTAAAGAAAACGGAGAAAACAGTTTCTAAAAGCTCTCAGCAAGATGAAATAAGCCAACTCTACTATGTGGCACTTGAGGACACATTTCAGTGACTGCCCCAGAATCGCTTGACCATACATCCCTAGGAAAATACTCCAAGGACACAAAGAGCCGCCAGACATTTAATGAAAATATTGTCTTCAATGGTTATATCGTTGGTAAGATATTGATACTGATATTCTGAAACTATTACATTTCTATTGTAAAGAAAAGCAAATCATGTAATTTCATTAAGACTGAGGTTTTTACTGTAAGAGAAAAGAGAGAAATATGAAATTGAAGAAATAAAGGCCCCGTTGATTTTAAATTTGTATTGTAAACATCAAAGTGAACTCTTGGTGTATTTTCTATTAAAGAATTTGCTAACTCACTCTACATAGAAGGCTGAAGAAATAAAATCCAATTCAATACCAGCAAGCACCACTAATGTTCCCATTGTGGTTTCTAAATGCCTCTTCTCACTGAAAGGAGCTAGGGCTTCGAGAGGATCTAGACAGGAAATGGACAGCATAACCTATTGTATCCTAGTAGAAAAGGAAGGGGTGTAGGAGTCGGATGGGAGCATGTAGATTTAGAGTGGCTCATAAGTATGGTTCCTGGACCTCAGTTATCAGAGTCATCTGGAAATTGTCAAAAACTCATTTTCTCAGGCCTCACTGTAGACCACTGAGTCAGCCGCTCTGGGGACAGCCCTACATGGGCTTTACAAACCTTCCTGTGAGCTTTGAGAGCCATAGGATTAAAAAGCATTAAGAGATCGTAAATGCAAAGTGTGGATCTTATTTGAATCCTAAATCAAACCACTTGTTTAAAAAATAAATTTATGAAGCAATCAGAGAAATGTGCCCACTGGATTTCTTGGTGATATAGATTGGGAATCCATTATTTGCAGTGTTTGGGACCCAGCAGTGTTCTTAGAGTTTTGTTTTGTTTTTTTTTTTTAGATTTGAATATTATGGGTTGATTATCCCTGATCTGAAGACCTACAACCCAAAATGCATCAGCTGAAAGTTTTGGATTTTCAGATTATAGAGGGTCAACCTACATTAAGAAATTGTTTTCATTTTTTTAATAAGAATAATGTATTTTAATTCCTGGCAGAAAATAACTGCCATCTTAGCTTACTGTATCTAGTGGAGCTGTCCTTTATAATTGAAGGAGAAATAAAAACTTTCCATGTAAACAAAAGCTAAGGGAATTTATGATCATCCAGCATTGTAGAAGATACTACTCAAAGGAATTTTATACACCAAAAAGGAAGATAAATACAACCATGAGAATATGGAAAGAATAAATCTCCCTAGATGAGTAAATAAACAAATGAGTGGGAAAGACTGAGACATTACAAAAACAGCAATATGACAAGAATTACTTTATACTTTTCAGTAATAACTGAATGTCAGTTGTCAGGATTTTCCAGTCAAGAGACACAAGATGGGCAGATTGGATTAAAAATTAAGGCAACCATTTATTGCCTACTGGCAAAGGAAAAAATAGGCTTAAAGGGAAAAGATGGGAAAAGATATACAAAGCAAATGGAACTTCAAAGCCAAAAAGGGTAGTTATATCAAACAAAGTAGACGTCAAACAAAATCAGTCCCAAAAAACAGAGAAGGTCACTTCACCTTGATAAAGGGAACAGTCATCAAGAGGATATAAAAATTATAAACATTTATGCATGGAATGTTAGTGTACACAGTTTCATTAAGCAAGCACATGAAAGCACAAGTAGGTCCCAACACAAGAAGGAGTGATTTGAATACCCTACTCTCACCAGATGATAGGTTGCCCAGACTGCAGCCCCCCCTACCCCAAAAATAATGAAGCTTCAAAGTTAAATGACACTGTGAATCAAATTTAACAGACAGCTACAAAGGGTTCTTCCTAATAGCTGCAGAACACAGATTCTTAACAGCCCATGAAACTTCCTCCTCCAAAGTCGATCACATTTAAGTACATAAAGCAAGTCTTAACAAATGCAAGAAAACAGAAGTAACTTCCTGTATTTTATCAGGTCTGAGGGGAATAAAACTGGAAATCAGCAGCAAAAGAAATTACGGAAAGTATTCAAGTAGATGGTGCCTGACTGAACATTATACTTTTCAATGATCAGTAAGTATGTCACGGAAAAAATAAGGGAAGGACTTACAAAGGTGTTAGAATCAAATGAAAATGAAAAGAGAGCTTACCAGAACCTTGTGACACAGCAAAGGCAGTTTTAGGAGGAAGGTTCATGATGATGGGTACCTACACTAAGTAAAAAAATTAAATTGCCAGATAAAATAACTTAATAAGCTCCTAAAAAAACAAGAATAAGCCAAGCCCCAAATTAGGAGGCAGAAAGAAAGGGTAAACTCTAGGGTAGAAATAATGAAATGGAGACTACAAGACTAAAAGAGTCAATATCGACGAAGATTTGGCTTTGCAAAGATAATCAGAATTGACAATCCCTTAGCCAAACTAACCAAAAGAAAGACGGAGAAGATCCACATAATTAAAATTAGAGATGGAAAACCGTATCTCACAACAGTTACCAATAAAATCCAGTGAATCATTAGGAAAACTTTTAAAACTTGATATTCAAGTAAACTTGAAAATCTAGGAGGAACATAAATCTCTAGATAACATTTCACTTGCCAAAATTGAATTAAGATGATAGAAACCATTTAAAGAGATCTTTTACAAGCAATGAGATTAAAGTGGTAATGGATTCACTGCTTAATTGTATTAGACCTTTAAAAAAGACAAACATCAGTGCTGAAATTATTCCACAAAATAAAAGGAAAGGAATGCTACCAAACTTCTTCTGTGAAGCCAGTATTAACCTGATATCACATATGTAAGAGAGAAAGAGAGAGAAAGAGAGAAAAGAAAGAAAAAGGAAAACTGTGGAGTAGTTTTCTTGAGAACATCAGTACAAAAGTTCTCATTAATATATTTTGCTAACTGAATGGGACAACACATTAAAATTATCATACATCATGGTCAAGGTGGTTTTATTCTGAGGATAGGATGGCTTTGAACAGTCAGGCATAGTAGCTCAAGCCTGTAATCCTACTACTTAGGTAGCAGATTTTGTAAGAATCATGATTTTGAGGCCAGCCCAGCCAAATTATTCACCTGACCCCATTCCAATCAGTGAGGGCATGATGGCTTGCACCTTAGCCATGTAGGAAGCAAACAGGAGAGTCATGGTCCAGGCTGGCCTAGGCATAAACATGACACTCAAAAAATAAGTAAAGAAAACAGGGTTGGGAGCATGGCTCTGTGGTCATGTGCCTGCCTACGTGTGTACACACACACACACAGCCCAAGAAACTATAAGAGGGTACTTGAATATAATAAAGGCACAATCCCAGTAAGAACATTTTTTTTTCTCTGAAGTCTGAAGTGAGACAAGAATATCTACCCTATCAATTCTCTATCCATTCTCATTCAGTATTGTGCTTGGATAGGAGTCAGATGGATACAAATAGAAAGGGAAGAAATTAAATTATCCCTATTTTTAGATGGAATGATTCTATACTTGTAAGATCCTAAAGATTTCAAAAGTCCTCTTAGATCAGGAAAAACACTTTCAGCAAAATAGCAGGATATAAAATCGACACACAAAAATCTGTATATACTAATTACAAACAGACTGAGTAAGTAATGAGGAAAACAATCTCATTGAGAAGAGTCTGGGGAAAATACCTAGGAATAAACTTAATTGGAGGTAAAATACCTCTACAATGAACACTACAGAACACTGAAGAAAAGAAATTGAAAGAGACACTAAAAGATGGAGAGACCTTCTTGTTCATGGATCGCAGAATCAATTTTGTGAAAAGGGCCATATTGTGAAAGATTCAGTGTAACCCCTATAAAAACCCATGAAATAGAAAAAAAAACTATTGAAATTCATATGCAGAATGGACGATTCTGAATAGACAAAGTAGTCCTTAAGAAAACTGACAATAAAAAAAGAAAACAAAAGAAAAAAAAGCAATGCTTTAAGTATTGCAATGCCTAGCTAGGTTATATTACGGAGCCATGGTAACAGAAGCAGCATGGTAATTATCACAAAGGCAGATGGATAGAATAGAATAGGAGATCCAGAAATTAATCCATAGAGTTAAACCCATCTGACTTTCACCCAAGGTCTCCCAAGCACATATTGTAGAAAAGAATCTCCTTGAGAAATGCTTTTAGGAAAATTAGTGATCTACAGAAAGAAGACTGAACCTAGATCCTTATCTCTCTGTATAAAAATAAATTCAAGATGTATCAACGACCTTCATATAAGATCTGAAACTTTGAAACTACTATGGGAAAACACTTGAAAATACAGGTATAGGCAATGACTTTCTGAATAAGAATAATAGCTCAGAAAATAAAAGCAAGAATTGACAAATGGGATTGCATCAAGTTCAAAAGCTTCTGCACATCAAAAGAAACAATTATCAGAGTAATAGAGCCTACAGAATGGGAGAAAATCTTTGTCACTATTCATCAGACAAGGGATTGATATTCAGAATATATGAAGAGCTCAAATAAACATTGAAAGAACAAATAATCCAATTAATATGGACAAATAAATTGAGCAGACACTTCTTGAAACAAGAAGTAAAAATGGGCAATAATTACATGAAAAACACAATCTTCAATATCTGTAGCCATGAAGGAAATGAAAATGGAAATGACTTTTGATATTCCAGTCCCAGACAGAATGCTTATCATCAAGACAATGAGCCGAAACAAATGCTAGTAGCTAGGACGTGGAGAAAAGAATACTCTTATACACTGTGGGAATGTAAGTTAGTGCAGACATTATGGAAATCAGTGTGGCAATCCCTCAAAACATGAAAACAGAGCTAGCCTAGGACCCTGCGAGACCACTCTTGGACGTATGGCTAAAAGAATACAAGTCAGCACGCATAATAAAGATACCTATCCATCTATGTTTATTGTGAGATCCGTCTAGGTGCCCACCCATAGATGATGCATAAAGAAATTGAGGTATTTATACACAAGGATGTATTGTTTAGAGGTAAAGAAGAATAAAATTATGTCATTTGCATGAACATGGATGGAACTAGAGCACATCATGTTAAGCAAATCAGCCTGACTTGGAAAAGCAGGTACTGTATGTTTTCTGTTATATGTGGAATATAGATATAAAGAAAAACATGGACCTGAACATAAAGTAGGGGGGGCATTTGGAGGAAGCAGTCAGCAGGAAATGGCAAGAGAAAAAGGAAACGGGGAAGGGAGTAAACATGGCCTAGGTACATTATAGACACTTTTTTTTTTGGGTCCGGTCATAGGGCCTGAACTCTGGGCCTGGGCGCTGTCCCTCAGCTCTTCAACTCAAGGCTAGCGCTCTACCACTTGAGCCACAGCGCCACTTTTGGCTTTTTTCTTTTTGCTTATGTGGTGCTGGGGAATCAAACCCAGGGCCTCGAGCATGCAAGGCAAGTGCTCTACCACTGAGCCACCTTCCCAGCCCCCCATTATAGACACTTTTCAAAATTGCAAGAAAGATAAAGAAAGGATGGGAGATAGGGATAAGAATGAATCATAAGGTATCAGCCTTCATTACTAGCTGGAGTTAGGTATTGTTATTCTCATCTTCTAGAAGCAGGAACCGAAACTCCAAGGTGTTAAATTAACGAGCTTCTGCATTATACAGAGAGAAAGCGACGGAGCTGTGCTTTTGAGCTTTTGCTATTTTTGTTGTTGCTGGTTGTGGGGCTTGAACTCAGTGCCTGGCCATGTCCCTGAGCTACTTTGCCACTTGAACCACACCACCACTTCCAGTTAGTTAATTGGAGATGAGTCTCATGGAGTCTGTTCTGCTCAGGCTGGCTTCGAATGAACCACGAGCCTCAGATCTTAGCTTGAATTACATGCGTGAGCCACCGGCACCTGGTGAGCCCTTGCTATTTTTTAATATAGTGTCCAGGCACCCTGTGAGCTCTTGCTATTTTTAATACAGTGTCTTTATGCTGTCTTTATGCTGGATTTGAATCCAGCAACACATAAGTAACTAAAAATCTCTCATTTTAAGGGCTAGCTGGACTATGCACATATTGTTAGACATTTACCCATGAAACCAGACTCACCACTTGGTGAAGGGTGTCAAAGCACCTGCTGTTTTCTGGGCACAAGTGATCTGAGGCCAGAAAGGAGTGGGGAGCTGGTCAGAGACATTGCCATATCTACAGTGATAGGGATGCTTCTGGTGGAAAGGGGCATCTGGAGGAGGTGACTATGGAAAGGCTACAGGAGAAGGAGGGGGTTACCCATCAGGGTAGGGAGTGCCCATTCTCTGAGTTTACCCTACTGCATTGTGACAGACAGGTCAGGATAGTTACTTCAAGGTCAGAGATTGGAGCTAAGCCTCTGACAATTTAGTGACTTTGTCCTAGGATACATAGACTTGTGAAGCCATGACCAGAACCCAAATCTTTGTGGCTTCTAGCCTGCAGGTAAGAATCGAAGCAAATCTAACTTTTAAATTAGGATCTATTTTGGAAGAACCATTGAAGTCTTTGTACCTGACATTATTAGTTAATCTTAAAAGTAGGTTAAGGCAGGGAATCAATGATTCTTCCCTTAAACATTTTAGTTTAGTTTAACTTAAAACAGACAAATGTACATTCCCTTGCTATTTTTTCGATGTTAGTCCAGGCTTTTTCTTTGAATATCTGTCTGCTGATTGGAGTGTCATATCTTCTTTCATAAACCACATCCATAATGTATGTCTGTCACTTCCAGTTTTTGTTTCTTTAAGATGAAGAGAAAGCTTAGACTCTTGCAAAGCAATCTGAATATATAGAATTCTTTTAGACAGTTCCTCCCACATCTTTCATAGTTGTCTCCCCCACACCTAATTTGCCAGAAATGTGTTTCTCAGCGACTTGCCTTTATCTGGTCTTCCCTGAAGCGTATGTTAGTTTTCAACAACCAGCTCTCTGTCCATACACATAGCTTGTAGTTTTACTTAATATTTAATTTGATTCTGTAATTTGATTATGTAAGTATAGCTGTCAAACCAATTGGAAACAGACACACTAAAGGGACTCTTCATATGCTGACAACTCACCTTGTCTGCACTTGGGAACTGAAGTGATTCAGTGTCACCAAGAGTTCTGGGGGCCAGGGCCAGGAGAAAGGAAGACAGTTGTCCCTGCCTGGGTTGGTGAACAGTCTGTTTTGCGTATTTCATGTCAGAGGCCCTGGGACCAGTTTGCCTTTCGTCTGAACAATACTCAAAGTATATCCTTATGGGTCATACTCACTAAGTCACACTTTTGTATTATCTTTTTAAGATGTAATCATTAACAGCATTGTAAGTCAATGTTACAGCTTCTTGTAAAAAGAAATAACCTCAAGCAATTTGAAGTTCCATCCCTTGGAAATAATGCTACTAATGTTTTGTTGCCACACTGACTTCTACATCTATGGATGTGTACCAATTGTGTCATCACTTTTGTGGGTTTTTTTTTATTAGCTTACATTAGTTATACTAATGGAAGGGCGGGGGGGTAATTTAATTGTTGTGTGTTCAGTTTTATGAAGCAGAAATGCCTTAGATGTAGTATACAGCCTGTGTTGTTCTGAGCTCTTTGGCTACTAATTATAATCATCTTTTGATATCAATAAATAGAGCTCTACAACATTATTTTTAATAGCTGAAAAATTATTCCTTTCTCTGTAAGTACTGTAATTTATTCAGATTCATATTAAGCAAATCAGGTTTATTTCTTTCTACTATTAAGCATGCTGAAGTGAGCATGCATCTTCTTAGGCTTGTATTATTGTATACTAATGTTGCCTATTATTGCTTGGGGGAAATGCTGTAGACCTGCTGGGGCCAAGCCTTGGGAGTGTTCACAATAGTAGGTGTCTGGGCATTCTGCTGGGCCATGCTAGTTTTCAGTTCCACCAGCAGACCTTAGGTTTTCCTCCTTCTTGCATTTTAACCAATTTGCCAATCTAATGATTTTTATTCAAGTATCCATGCTAGTGAAGTTGAGAATCTTTTTTTTTCTTTTTTCGCCTGTATTGGGACTTGAAGTCAGGGTCTAGATGCTGTCTCTTAGCTTTTTCACTCCAAACTAGTGCTCTACCACTTGAACCATACCTTCACTTTCAGCATTTTGGTGGTCTATTAGAGATAAGAGACTCATGGACTTTCCTGCCTGGGTTGGCTCCTAAGTGCCATCCTCAGATCTCAGCCTCATGAATAGGATGACAAGCATGAGCCAGCAGCTCCTGGCTGAAGTTGACCATCTTTTGATATGGTGTTATAGTTTCTTCTTAGGTAATGTAACATTTCATTGTCTTATTTCATTTATTTTCTAAATCTTTTTCTGTTTAGATTGGTGAAATGAAGTCAGAGATCACCAAACTATACAAAACGTTGTTTGAACAAGAAAAGAAGCTGCAGAACAGTGTGAAGCTTTTACAGCAGAGCAAGCACCAGGAAAAAGTCATCTTTGATCAGTGTAAGTGAGTGGTTGAGGTGGCCACCGTGTCTGACCATTTCCTGCCTCTCAGTGCCGCCAGCCCCACCCTGACTGGCTCTCTTTGCAGACCAGGTTGTTTGTAATCATTTCTTTTCCTACTGGACCATTTCTCACTTGCACAGATTAGTCTGCTCATTTATAGTACCTGTGTAGAGGGGAGGCAGGTATGTGGCTAGCTCCTTACAGGTGCTCTGAGCTGGGAGGAGCAGGATGACTTCTGTCTGCCCTGGGAGGTAAGCATCCTAGAGGAAGTGACCCTGAGCCAGGTCTGAAAAGAGGGTTAGTCATTGTCAGTAGCCAATGGCAGTCCAGGCTGCCAACTGGGGGGACAGAGGCAAGAAATAAGGTTTTATAGGTGATAAACTAGAACTGGTTTGTGTTGATAGAGCAGAACTGCCTGTGGCACAGTGAGGTAGAAAGCCAAGGGACTGGGGACTGTACTGTGCCATGAAAGGATTCAGGTGTCAGGAGCAGAGGAGCAGCCTGGCAGCTGCATGCAGTAAAGGTTCTTTGTTGCTGTCCAACCTGGGAGGGAAGAAAGCAGCTTGACCCTGCCTGGGTCAAGCTAACTCCTCTCCGTGTGCAGCAGCAAATTAGGGACGGGTGTCCAGCTGAGACCTTTCCTGCCACTCACTAGTCACGGGGCCTGTGGCCCCTGCTTTGCTGAGTGAGGGTAGTCGTCCTGCCCTGCAGGGCTGAGGGTCCTCAGTGAGTCACAGTAGACACCTCCCAGGCCCTGTGGCCCTCTTAGGGGCCCTCTTCCTTGCCAGCCTTCTGCTGAGGTGTAGGTGTGCTATGGGCTGTGGTATGAGCCATGTCACTGCACTGGAGCAGCCTTATTTGAGATGCAGACTTTACAGCTCTGTCCTTTCGTCTTCTCAGCATAGTGGGCATTCTTGTGCTTTTAGGTCTAAGAGCCACTTCAGATCTTGGGCCAGGCATCTCTTAGCTTTTCTGGTGGGTTTTACTCACACGGTGCATCCAGTACATTTCAAGATTATTTTTAACCTTCACACCTGGCACTTGGTGAATCCTGAGAAAGTGATGGACTCTGCCTAGGAAAATGCACATGTAGAGACACACACACACACATACATACACACACACTTTGTAAATCATTTGCCCCCCCCCCCACACACACTTTGTACATCATTTGCAGGGTATAGGGCCATCCTTAGCATGTCCATGGTTCCTGCAGCCTAATGTGGGCTATCTCCAAAATTATTCTTTTTTTTGGGGGGGGGGGTCTGGTCGTGGGGCCTGTACTCTGGGCCTGGGCACTGTCCCTCAGCTCTTCAGCTCAAGGCTAGCGCTCTACCACTTGAGCCACAGCACCACTTCTGGCCTTTTTTTTTCTGCTTATGTGGTGCTGAGGAATCGAACCCAGGGCCTCATGCATGCAAGGCAAGCGCTCTACCACTGAGCCACCTTCCCAGCCCCTTGGCTTTTTTTCTTTCTTTTTTTTTTGGAGGGGGTCCAGTTCTGGGGCCTGAACTCTGGGCCTGGGCGCTGTCCCTCAGCTCTTCAGCTCAAGGCTAGCACTCTACCTGGCTTTTTTCTTTTTGCTTATGTGGTGCTGAGGAATCGAACCCAGGGCCTCATGCATGCAAGGCAAGCGCTCTACCACTGAGCCACCTTCCCAGCCCTCCAAAATTATTCTTGCTGAGCTACAAAGCTCATGCAGTCTGTCTCCTCCCTCAAGGTGGTAGGTTTCAAACAGAGTTCAGTATCTTCAGGTAGACATTTCTGTGAATCAGATATTTTCCCAGGCCACCACAGATAACCTCTTCAGAATAAGACATTCAGGAGGGGTCCTGTGTTGGAGTGAGTCTGTTTCAGTGTCAGTCATCACTGGCCAGAGGCCTGGATCTGGAAGGCTTACCTGTTTTACTCAGGAGCAGTGGTGATCTGACCTTACCAAGTCCTATTTAGAACAGATTTTTGATCAGACTCTGAAATCCATTCAGTAGCTGCTGCTAGAGTTTGTGTGTGTAAGGAAAGATTGAGAGAGGAAACAACCGTCACTGCTTTTCCCAGAGTTCTCCACTGCAGCTCTGTCTAGGATGCAGCCCAGGTGGAGTTGGTAGCATCCTCTGAACCCACTTGTGAGCCCCTCCTGTCCAGGCAGAATTCTGTTTGCCTAGGGGATCAATGTTGGGCAATTCTGCCCACTGAAGGGCAGGTGAAGGGGACAAAAATGCCCAGGTATTTTCCTCCAGTCCTTTAGGGGTTTGCTTTAAGGAGTGTGTTGTAAAATCCTGTCTTCACAAAACTCCCTGGACTCTTGACCCCTGTAGGCCTCCATACATGGGTTTGCTTCCCACCTTGCTTCTCAGAGGGCCCAGGACACCCAAGAATGCCACATGCTGTTAGGGCCCAAGACTTTACCCTTCCTGTGCCATTGCCCTCCCCACCCCACAAGATGAGCTCAGCATGCCTGGCAGCTGAGTGCCCACGAAGAGCAATGGTATCATGGCATGTTCTATGTTCTGTGCCCCCATCAGACCATGACCTAGTGAAGACGTGAAGAGATATCTGTGGCCTACACTTTCTGGAGGGTTTCTGGGCCCAGAGCTCTGTGAAGGAGACAGGGCATTTGTCTTCTCTTGTCTGGGTGCTTTGGGGTTGTTCACAAGTCTGAACCATTCAGGCTTGGGGCCTACGTTCCCTTAGCCCTGCTTTCACCCTGCCTTCTCTTCACTCCCGTTTTTCCTTTCTCTTCAGTGGCTGTCACCCACAAAGTCCTTCGGAAGGCCAGAGGAAACCTGGAGGTAAGGCCTCTAAGCTATTTCATGGACGGCCATGATGAGCAGGGTGGCCCAGGGCAGAGCCAGCTTCTTTTGAAACATGAAGTTGAAGGTGGAACCACAGCTGTGTTTTTCTGCCAACAGAGCACAAAAAGTTCTATTTTATCATGCCTGTCGTCAGAGCTTGCTCTGCTTTTTAAGTCTGTATGCAGTTTTTTCACAAGTGAGAAATAGAGCAAACGGCGACTGCCGCATAGTAGGCATTTGTTAAGTCTTTCTGGGATGTATGAATACTGTATGATCTTTGTCATTTTGTTCTGTAAATATTTACTGATCAAACAGTATGTCTTTGAAAGCAGTTTCAAAATAGCTTCTTGCCTTTAACTCTGTCAGGGATCTTACTTCAAAAACCCTCTGTTGACCTAAAATTCTCATTTTTTTTTCCCCCTCCTTGTCCTAGCTCAGGCCTGGAGGCGCCCATCCAGGAACGTCCAGTCCCAGCAGATCAGGCTTCTGAGGAGAACTTTCAGCCAATAAAGCTTGTGCCTGACATCACACTGTCTCTGTTCCAACTGTCACCCCTGGTGCGGAGCAAGAGCTGCTGGCCAGAGGAAATTTGCTGTTCCCTCTATTGTGTACAGAAATGTCCGCTGGGTCAGGTTCTCTTCAGTGAGGCACTGGAAAGGCCTTGGGCTCTGTTTGGGTGTGGGGCGGGGTCTGGGGATGAGGGCACACATGTTGATGGGCCTCATGACCATGCTGATGTGAGACTTTACTTCCTGGTCTGCTTTTCCCGCCTCACAGCCTAGTGCCCATTGTTAGGTGCTACAGAGCCAGCACCCGCTGCACACCAGCTTTATTCTGGGAGCCCTCTCAGTCCCTACTCAGTCTCCCTTTCTACTCCAACCCCTGCATCATTCCCGGTCGTTGTGTGTCTATTAGGATGGCCCTTCATTTGTCTTTACCTCCTAAACTCCCTGTGCTGCCATGTTGCTCTGGTCCCAGCCTCCCTGCCTCGCCCTTCCTGCTCCTCTACCTCTTCCCTCTCTGCTTTGACCTCCTGGAGGTCTTTGTCTCTCCTCCCTCTCCTTCACCTCTGTCATAAGCCCCTTGTTCTATTTCTTTTCCATCCAGCTTCCTCACATCCAAATCCCTTCCCCTGCCCTGCCAAGGTGCTAAGGAAAACCATATCCAAACAGGTTGTCTCCATACACTGGATATTTCCAGCCACCCTCTGGTCCAAGCCCAAGTCCCTGTGGCAGTTCATAAGACCCCTCTTGCTCTCCTCTCCTCTCCCCTCCTGGCACTCCAGCCGGTTCTAGACAGTTGGCTCAGCTCAGCTCCTGTGTCCTTCCCACTCTTCCCAGCATCCTCCCTGCTGCCTCTCTCTGAAGTGTGCCTCCTGCCTTCCCTTTCTCCAGCTATATTACATTGGTTCTTCAGATGGAAGTCTTTTCAGCCCCTGGCGCTGGGTGATGCCCCTCATCTCTGCTCTCAAAATCCCCCTCACACACATGCCCTCCTGCCCTCCTAGAGATCATCTTGTGTCCACAATGAGTGGCCGACGCCTGGCCCACACGGGCACAGTGGATGGGCCGAGCAGACAGGCCCGGCCCTGGGGGAGGCTGTGGTTGGGAAGTATTGCCTTCACATTGCCAAGAGATCCTAATAACTCCATTGCTCAGCCGGTGTGGCTCACAGGCACTCCCCCCATTAAATCACGGAGTCCCCCAGAGTCCAGTGGGGATTGTGGTGTTGGTTAGGATCACCTGTCTTCATGGGGAAGCCAAGGGCATTAGCGAATGATGAGCAGGGCCTTGGTCCCTCTTGCCCTTCCCCCACTGGCCCACAGCTGTACAGACATGGTGATGGGGGATGTAGATGCGCAGCTGGATAGAGGGAGCGGAGACCCAGGTGAGGAATCCAGGGACTAGCCCAGTCCCAGTCCCTCTCCTCCATCTGCACCCACTGATCGTGTGCACCTGCACTGAGTTTTCATAGTTGCCAGTGTGGAAGCTCAGCTTAGCCATCCTGTCTCATAGAGCTCCATTCTGCAGAAGGCACCTGGTCCTTTCCGTGCAGAAGCTGGGTGTGCCTCTTCGCATGCTTCTGTCCTCAGTTTCCCCACCCTTTGGCCCAACCCTGACAACAGAATTATTGTGAGCCTTGGAATCTGGAAGTGG